GGGATCCATTCTTGGATTCCAGAAACTCAGGAGGAAGCGGGTAAAGGCAAACTGGCTGCAGACACCCATCAGTTCAAGACACCTCGCCTGTTAGACAAAGGAAAAGTCTCATGAAAACAGTGCCTGCAAATTGCATCCTATTCACCATGGGGTGTATCCAACTAATTCATTCAGTCGAACAATCAATGTTTATGACAGTAATCAGCCAGCATAAGTATCCAGCTAAGTCCTACTTAAAGTAGACCCATTGAAATGAATGAGCACATGTTAGCCATGTCCATTATTTTCAATTGGTCTGATTAGAATGGGACTATCATTAGAGGCAGCCCTGGGTCACAATGAGTGATCCAATGGTTTGACTTGATGCTGAAACTCAAAAGCTTTCCTTAACCATGGTTTATTTAGCCACCCCGACCCAGACACCAGCCAAGCTACAGATGCAAAAGAAGCCAAGCTTTGGAGAAACAATTCACAATCTGCTTGTTTGCCTATGAGACAATTTGTGGTTTGGTAAAGAAACCATGATGTAAACAAACCATGGCTTAGTGTGAATAATATATTTGTCTCTGTTTGTATCCCTCTATGGGATGAAAAGAAAGGCCTTTTTTAAATTTTATAAAACATAATATCCTAATCTCATCATCATCAACAACAAGCAAACTCATTGGTTTTACTGATTTTTTTTGTATGTTGTATTAAGCAGTATATGAATTACTTAAATATATAAACTAGTATTATTAGTAGTATAAAATACAAGATAAAAACACAAAAGTTGTTGTTGTTGAGATGTAGCAGGTATTCCTGTGAATTACTTAAATATATAAACTATTATTAGTAGTATAAAATACAAGATAAAAACACAAAAGTTGTTGTTGTTGAGATGTAGCAGGTATTAAGATTAAAAAAGGCAAAAACAAACTTTTGGTAAAAAATATGAATGATGAGAGTAAAAATAAGTTACAAGATGTGTCAGGTCCACAGATTGAAAGGAATGTCAAGTATCTAGGTGTATGGTTAGCAGCAAATAATATAAAACTATATAAAGATCATTATTTAAAAACCTGGGAAGATATTAAAAGAAATTTGCAAATTTGGGACAGAATTAAACTTTCACTGTTATGTAAAGTGTCAATTATAAAAATGAATCTATCACCAAGAATGTTATTTTTGTTTCAATCAATTCCGGTGATTGGCAAGACAATGTATGGCAAAAATATATTTCTAAATATATCTGGCAAGGGGCAAAACTGAGAATAAAATACCAAATATTGATAGATGCAAAAGTGAGAGGAGGTTTCTCCCTGCTGGATATGAGATTATATTATGAAGTATCTTGTCTTTGTTGGTTGGCGGAATGGATGACATTGGAGAACCCGCATATCTTAGATTTAGAAGGTCCTGGTAATACTTTAGGTTGGCACGCCCATTTGTAGTAAGAAAAGGTGAAAGAACACAAAAGATTAACAAATCACATAATTAGGGGGGAAATTATAGAGCCTGGGATAAATACAAAAACTTATTCGAGACAAAAACACCACTTTGGCTCTCACCATTGGAAGCCATAGCAGTAAAGAAAAAGAATATGATAGAAGGTTAGACAATTTATAGAAATTTATTAAAACAAGAGGGAGGAGAGTTTAAATTAAAATAATTTAAGGATTTATCAGGAAAGTTAACAACATGGATACAATATCATCATTTGAATGAAGTATTTAAGAAAGATAGGAAATGAGGGGTTGGGGAACAAATATCACAACTGGAGAGAGATCTGTTGGAATGTAATGAAGTGCTGTCTAAAATGTATAAGATATTATTGGATTGAGAGACAAAGGATGAGCAAGAAAAATCTTCAATGATACATTGGGCAATAGATATTAGTTATAGATATGGAAGTGTGGGAACGATTGTGAAATATGGATATAAAATTTACAGCATGCTATGGTGTAAGAGAAAACTATGAGTATGTTATATAGATGGTATCTAATAAACTGGCAAAAATGTATAAATCAAAATCAAATAAGTGTTGCAAATGCAAAGAGAAAGAAGGTACTTTCCACCATATGTGGTGGTCTTGCAGTAAGGCTAAAGCTCACTAGGATATATAATGAATTGAAAAAGATGTTTAAAATAACATTTGTTTTTAAAAAAACCCAGAAGCTTTTCTTCTGGGAATTATAAGGGTAGAACTGACTAAACAGTATACAAATTTATTCATGTATGCAACTACAGTGGCAAGAATGTTATTTGCCCAAAAATGGAAAGAAGAAGTCCTGATGAAAGAAGAATGATTACAAAAACTCATGGACTATGCAGAAATGGTGAAACTTACCATAAAAATAAGAAATCAAGATAAGAAACTTTTTATAAAAGAATGGAAATGGTTTATTGAATGTGTACAAATAAGTTGTAAACATTGGCAGGATTATTGTAATAACCTGCAGTTTCATAAGAGCAAATAATTAAAGCAGATGAATAAAAGAATAAGTTAACGTAATTTAGAATATAATATACAGGAAATGTAAAAAATAATTTTAAGGAACCACAGAAAGAGGAGGAAGGAAGTTGAGTTTTGAAACATTAAAATGACTGTAAAACTATTGAAATGTATATAACTGAAAATCATTTTTTAAAAATAATAATAATAAAGATTATCATCATAATAATAATTTTTTAATCACATTTTACATAAGAATGTACGAATAACATCACATAATGGCTCAACAAGTCCCCAACTTACCACAATGACCACCATAATGACATTGCAGTGAATGACCCGAAGCTTTAATGGACAATCAAATCCAGATGGAATTTTACTCCTGGAAAGATCATAATAAATTGCGCAGGAGAGAAGCAACAAGAAAAGAATCCCAATAGCTCCAATCACCCCAAGCAGGAGGCCCAGAAGAAGCTCCATTTCACTGTTCCAAAGAGTGCAAGGGAAACATTGAGTCTACACTGGAAGAATTTCTACTCCACCCAAGGTATCCACTCTACTTAATTGTCTGTAGGCTGGTTGATGAAGTAATTATAAATTAGCACACATACTTCCAGGAAGAAATTTCATCCATCCAAACACTACCAGCAATTTCATGAGTCTTAGCAGTAGCACAATGTGTGGTGTTCTATCCAGCTTAATGAAGTCTTTAGTCAGAAATGGTGGGAGTAGTTGTTGTATATTGAAGAGGACTAGTGTGCAATGCCTGGCCCACGATTTCCTACTCTTCAGACCCGAGTCCCATTCCTACCCAGAGATCCCCAGGGTGGAACCTAAACCCTTGTATTTTCAAAGCATGGGCTCTTCTCTTAAGGCACGGTCCTCATAGCAAAATGCAAGTCCATGCTAAGATGAATTATACCTAAGACTACCAGATTCCAGATATGTTATCATTAATTTAGCATATTTCTTAACACCCCCCACCTTCACCATGCCATATTTGTAAACATGTGTGTTTCCTATCTTTCAGAAACAGGATGTGGGACTAAATTGCATGTATGCCAAGGGGAAAAAACCTTCTGCATGACATAATTGTCGGTAATTATGGCTGCAGTCATGATAAATGCCTTTTTTTCTTTTAAGGTACTGAACTTCAATATAGCCAGGAAGTGGAACAGGGCTTTGAAACCTTCTGATTCTTCCCCCTTTATCTCCCCCTGTCAACATCCACACACGAATTACAAGAAGAAACTCAAAATATCAAAAGCACAAGAAGTAAACCACAGATTGCTAGAGGAAAAGGGCAGGATTATTCCTGCCTTAAATGTCGAGCTTTGCACTGAACAGGGGCCATCTTTACCCGGGGGTGCAAGGGGTGTGGGGCACCCGGACGTTCATTTTGTTGGTTTTGGCCCAATTTTCTAATCTACTGTATTAAGGTCCTCTGGAATCCTGATTCTATGAGCTTGTTTAGTGTCACTTGCAAGTTGGATGGGCATCATCTCTATTCCTTCATCTTGGTCATTTACCAAGACACTGAAGGAAAAAACGGTCCAGCATCCAGTTCTCACAGCATTCAATTAGATGCCTATGGGAAACATGCACAAGACATGAGCACAAGAGCACTTTTGCATCCTGCAGCTTCCAGCAACTGATATACGGAAGCATTGCTGTTAGTAGCTGTTGGTGGCATGTAACTGGCTACCCTAGAAGTGCAGGAATACAAAATGCAGCAGTCAGATTACTGGATGCAGTTCTGTTTAGATATTGTATAGCTCCTCCTGTTTTCAAACATATGCATGAGTTGCCAGTACAGTGGTGCCTTGGGTTACATACACTTCTGGTTACAGACTCTGCTAACCCAGAAATAGTACCTCGGGTTAAGAACTTTGCTTCAGGATGAGAACAGAAATCATGCTCTGGCGGCGCAGCAGCAGCAGGAGGCCCCATTAGCTAAAGTGGTACCTCAGGTTAAGAACAGTTTCAGGTTAAGAACGGACCTCCAGAACGAATTAAGTACTTAACCCGAGGTACCACTGTACATTTCTGGACCCAATTCAAAATGCTCAGGTTGGTGTTCACAGCCCTACATGATTCAGGCCCCAAATACCTGCATGACTGCCTCCTTTGGGGTGTTGGCATTGCTCAGCTAGTAGGGCAGAAAACTCTGAATCTCAAGGTGGTGGGTTCAAGCCCCACGTTGGGTGAAAGATTCCTGCATGGCAGGGGGTTGAACTAGATTACCCTCATGGTCCCTTCCAACTCTACAATTCCCTACAGGCCCTTTCAGGTGCTAAGGTGGGCAAGGGGGGCTCTCTTGGTCGCACCACTGCCCTCAAAAGCTCAGGTGGCTTGGGGAGGGCATCCTCCGTGGTAACCCCTAAGTTGTGAAACTTTCTCCCTGCAGAGGTTCAAATGGCACCTTCAATAGAAATCTTTCAGGTAGCATTGAAGATGCACCTCTTTACTTTGGCTCTTCATACTTCAGGTGTATATTTTATGAACCCCACTATATTTCTGTGACTGTCAATTGCTTTAAACTGTTTTTAATACTGTGCTTCATTCTGGAGCTTTGTACTGCTCAAGACAGGAAGCTGGGTTAGACTGCAGATGTGTCAGAGGCATAATTTCCCTAGCTTGCATTTTGAAGGGTAATTATGCTATACAGGTCACAATCATAATAAATGATTCCATCCATTTAATTTGTTTAATGAAGGTAAACAACAATTACAGAGGGTGAATGAAGTCAAAGCTACTTTATGACTTGAGGGGGTAATAATACTTTTTGCATTCTTACAGAACATGGACATCCAATACCGGCTACAGATTTGCAGTATTTTGGCAGGTTTAAGATGTCTCATGGAACCACATAAAAATCTGAAGCAATGTGAGCCATCAGGATATATATTTTTGTGTATTATTTATTGAAAAAGGAAAAGTACAAGATTACAAACGTACAGAAAAAACAGGAAGAAACAAGAAATGGTGCCCATGTAGAAAACAAAACAGAACAACAAAAATGATATATATCAGGATGCATGCAATAGTATATGAGATACTCTTATTTTGTTACATTGAGCTGCTCAAGGTTTGTTGGCAACTGTGTATGAAAACTGGTATGCAATTAAAAAATATAATTTATTCATTAAATTCATTTGCCACCTGTCAACAACAGGGCAGCATACGCCAATCAAAGCAATGCATACAATGAAACCATACCAATATACTGATTTTTTAAAAAATACTCTGCTTTTACAAAAAACAAAAAACAAACCAAAAGCCCATGTTTAATATTCAAAATGTCCAAGAGCAGAGATCTGGACTGTGCTGAGAACGTTCTGACACTACCCTTCAGGTGGGACATGGGGAAACAGAGAACAGGGCCGGACCTTCCATTTGGCAGAGTGAAATGACAGCCTCAGGTGGCAGATTCAGGGGAAGCAGCAGCAGCACATGGCTGCCCCTCCTGTGCCTCCCAATGATTGCTCTGTGGCTGCTCAACCTGTCTTGGGAACCCAACTCTGGCTTGCTGCCTCAGGTGCTGTGGAGGATTCTATCCCATCCAGCGGCGTAGCATGGGTTGTCAGCACCCGGGGCAAGGCAAGTAATTTGCGCCCCCTAACCCGGGGCAAGGCAAGTAATTTGCACCCCCAAACCCCTAACCTGCAGCTTCTTCTTGCTGCTGCCTGGTCTGGTCTGGTGTGGTTCTCTCCCGCGCTCAGTGCTGCGCTGGGCGGCCGCTGCACTGTCCCTCCCCCAGATAGTCCCTTGCTCTCTCTCCGCACCGCACGCCTGGCACCCACCCCCTCCACAGTGGGCGGCGACCCAGCGGCTCGGATCGGATTCGCACAGCCAGCACTGCAGTGAGAGAGAGTGAGTGAGCCAGGTAGGGGCAGAGAGCTGCGAGTGCAAGCACGCCCCCCCCGATGTTGCGGCCGGTGCGGCCGGCCCCCCTGCACCCCCCACGCTACGCCACTGATCCCATCACCAGTGCAAGTAAGATTCAGCTGCCAGCCCAGCTAGCTCCTGTCCTTGAAATGGGAAGGGGGTGCCATCTTGAAGCAGTAAAATGTATTGGGCAGGCCCTGTCTAAGGGAACAAACTTCCAGAAGAGGAGGAGCGAACTTATGGCCCTCCAGATTTATTGGACTCCATCTTCCACCAGTTTGTTAAGGGTTCTTGGAACTGTAGCTCTCTGAGGGGTGAACTACACTTCCCAGGGTTCCTTGGGGGAAGCCATGTGCTTTTTTTTTTTTAAGTGAACTTCATGCATATCCCTAGTCCTGAATCTTCCCATTCTCCAGGCTTCATTGGATGACCCCCATTAGATTCTAATATCATGGGAACTTGGGGAATTTGCTATTAAGTTGAAATTTGCAAGATCCAGCAATTACGAACCGCAAGCTATGTGGAATCCAGTGGCCAACCTATTTAGCTTGAAATTGCTTTGCCACCTTTGCAGCACCTTCTGCATGTTTCCCTGTGGTATTTTTAGAACTGGGGTCATGCAAGGCCCTCTGGGACAATAATTCTCACCTCAGACCAGTAGTTCCATGGAGGTGGGAGAACGTACACAGAAGGCTCAGTGTTTGGTTTGAACAAGGACGGCTCAGTTTGTCGATCAGCTACAAGCATGCCAGTGTTTCCGCACAGAAATAAGAAATGCTGCAAATTGGGGAGGGAGGGGAGGAAAAGAAAGGTCGGTTATTCAAGCACCAAGAAATCAGGTGATGCCATAATGACTGGTGTTTGTCTCGGAGGCTGGTTGAGAAAGAAAAAGACAGTGCTTAAAAATGTGGTGCTGATAACATTAGAAGGAGGCTGTTTAGTGCAAATTTGCACACAGGTCATAGAATCATAGAACTGAAGAGTTGGAAGGGACCCTGAGGATTATCTAGTCCAACCCACGGCAAGGCAGAAATATGCAGCTGTCCCATATTAGACAGAGAGCCAGTGTGGTGTAGTGGTTAAGAGCGGTGGACTTGTAATCCGGTGAACCGGGTTCACGTCTCGACTCCTCCCAGCGGCATAGCGTGGGTTGTCAGCACCCGGGGCAAGGCAAGTAATTTGTGCCCCCTAACCCCTAACCTGCCGCCGCTGCCAGCTTCTTCTTGCTGCTGACTGGTCTGGTCTGGTGTGGTTCTCTCCCGCGCTCAGCGCTGCGCTGGGCGGCCGCTGCACTGTCCCTCCCCCAGATAGTCCCTCGCTCTCTCTCCGCACCGCACGCCTGGCACCCATCCCCTCCACAGTGGGCGGCGACCCAGCGGCTCGGATCGGATTCGCACAGCCAGCACTGCAGTGAGAGAGAGTGAGTGAGTCATGTAGGGGCAGAGAGCTGCGAGTGCGAGTGAGCCCCCCCCCCCCCGATGTTGCGGCCGGTGCGGCCGGCCCCCCTGCACCCCCCACGCTACGCCACTGACTCCTCCACATGCAGCTGCTGGGTGACCTTGGGCCAGTCACACTTCTCTGAAGTCTCTCAGCCTCACTCACCTCACAGAGCATTTGTTGTGGGCGAGGAAGGGAAAGGAGAATGTTAGCCGCTTTGAGACTCCTTCGGGTAGTGATAAAGCGGGATATCAAATCCAAACTCTTCTACTCTTCATATGTGGATCGAACCCACAACCTTGGCAATATCAGCACCATGCTCTAACCAATGGCTCAAATCAATTTTACATATACAACTTTCTTCTCTTTTCTTAGTGCTAAATGCATAATCTTTAAAAACATTATTCAATGCCACTTTGTTAGTTTTGAGCCTTCAGGGCTCAAGCAGCATTTAAATCAACCTATGATTCTGTCTCACAAATCCTGGTGCTCTACAGATGTTTTGTCTCCAGGGAGACAGCTGGAGCTGATGGGGGCTGTTGTTCAAAACCTCTTGAGGACACCAAACAGCGGAAGGATGATTTGAAAGTATCCCAATTCACCCTAATAGACCCTGCGTCTTAGCTGCAGTTGCAATGGTCCACTGATGTGATACCTATTGCTTGCAAGGTCAGAAATGCCCTTTTCAGGCCCAGATGTTATACAACCCTCCTAGCTGCACCAATGTACAGTGTACAGCTGCTATCACACAGCACCGAGGTGGAGAAACTCATTGTTCTCCAGCTGTTCGTGGACTCCAGCTCCCATAAACACCAGCCAGCAGGGCCCAATAGTCAAGGTGGTCCAGCAAAATCTGGAAAACCACAGTTGCGCCACCAGTCACCTGGGCTGTGGTGTTTTTCATGCTCATTAGAATTTCTCATCCTGACATTTTTTTTGCAGACACTGATCTACAATTTCAAAGTATTGGTTCTAGGACTGTTGCTTTGATTGGCTTAGCTAGTTGTATTCTCTAGAACCCCTAGGTTGACTTTGTTGGGGGGGGGATGCTAATCGTTTGGCACACTCTAGGAGTTGAAATACATAAATAACTAAATAACACTGGAAAAGCCAGCTGACATTTGTGATCTGGCTGCCAGACGACGTTCAGAATTAAAGCGTTCAAATGAAGGTTCAGAGTTGCCTTTTCACCAAAGATTATCAGTGATCTTTTTAGATTAGTTCAAGGACTTTGTGGCAATGTTTTATGGGGGGAAATGTAGGAATTAAGCTCAGTTTTGCAGAGGTTTGTCTACAGTATACAAATGTTTCTCAGGGACATGGCCAGCTATTCCGGTTTTGATGTCAAGAGGTTATGAAATTAAGTCCTGCCTTTTTCTGCCTGCATTGCAGAAGCAGTCAAGTAGAGCAGGTAAGGAGGAAGGGAGAGAGGGGAGCAGCACATCTGGGTAAAAGGTGAGGTGTCATAACTGGTACTGTATACAAGATGGCTAAGGCTCTCATGCATTCTTCTGTGAGCTGTTTCCCTATATTGTGTCCTCTATTCCAGGAATCCCTGTATTGCAGTCACATTATACAGACCTGCGTGATGTGTAATTAAGCAAGTTTGTGTGGGCAGAACAGGTCAAATTTTATTTGGTTACTTGGTAGGTAGCACGCAGTGTTGCAATAGGAGAGATTGCTAGGCAGCTATGAGAGTGATTGGGTGCTTGAAGGAAGTGAATGAATGCTTCTGCAAAATTGTTCCATATAAGATCTGGTGTTGTTCATGGGACTTAATGCAGTACAGTTATTATTCAGCTGATAGGTAAAGGTAAAGGGTAAAGGGACACCCGACCATTAGGTCCAGTTGTGGCCAACTCTGGGGTTGCGGCGCTCATCTTGCTTTATTGGCCAAGGGAGCCGGCATACAGCTTCCGGGTCGTGTGGCCAGCATGACTAAGTCGCTTCTGGCGATCCAGAGTAGCGCACGGAAACGCCGTTTACCTTCCCGCCGGAGCAGTACCTATTTATCTACTTGCACTTTGACATGCTTTCGAACTGCTAGGTTGGCAGGAGCAGGGACCGAGCAACGGGAGCGCACCCCGTCACAGGGATTCAAACCGCTGACCTTCTGATTGGCAAGTCCTAGGCTCCGTGGTTTAACTCACAGCGCCACCCGCGTTCAGCTGATAATTTTGCGTTAAAAGTTTTCCATACGCTCACTATAATGGATATAAGCTATTACAGTCATACCTTGATTCTTGAACGCCTTGGTACTCATACGTTTTGGGTCCCAAACGCCAAAAACCCGGAAGTAAGTGTTCTGGTTTTTGAATGTTCTTTGAACCCGAACATCTGACGCAGCTTCCATGGCTTCTGATTGAGTGCAGAAAGCTCCTTCAACCAATCGGAAGCCGCACCTTGGTTTTTGAATGTTTTTGGAAGTCGATTGGACTTCCGGAACGGATTACGTTAGAGAACCAAGGTACAACTGTAACTGGGAAAAGCCCATAAATGTCCCTGTGTGGAGCTCCTTCTGAGGAGTCCCTCCCTGGACTGCCTCCTGGACCATCCTGGGATCTTCAGATGAAGGGCGGTATACAAATTTTAATGATGATGATGATGATGATGACGATGATGTTGATGCAAAGTCCAAAAATTTTGCCTGGTTTCCAGTATTCTATTAAGTAAAGCTAGAATGTTTATAGCAGGCAATAATATGATTTTCACTCAGTGCAAGTAGCCTATGTATAAGCCATACAGTTGCTGAGCATAGCTTCAGTGTGTGGTTTGATAGTGTGTATGTGTTTTATGGCCTCTGCTCTACCCCCTTGGCTCTTTCTCATGTTATCTAAGATTTATATGCTGCTTAATTAAAAAGAAAAAAAGAAATCTAAGTTGCTTACACGAAATAATACAGAATATTCAGAAAATACCAACAAATCTAAACTTTAAAAACAAGCAGGCATCATGCAATTGTCAACATATGGATAAAATCAACAGCTCTGCATAACAAAATCACAGGACTGTCTACAGAGAAGAAAGACGTAGCAGGCATCAGAAAGCTATCATTATCGATAGACAGGAAGTATGGGCGAAGAGGTGCTGCAGCAATTAAAAGTGACTTTGTATCAGATGCAGAGCAAACATTGTGGGCAATTGTGAAAGTGCCAATTCCAGAGATGAAAGTGGTTGAGTGGGTCCATATCGGGGTGTGGTGATCGTTCAAGAAAGCATCTCCCAAACTGTGGAGGGTTATCAGTGTTGAGGGTTATTGAATTTCACCTGATAAGAAGTTGGCAGCTCATGCAGATCTTTGATGTGTTGTAATCTGCTGATGGGGGTCAGGGGTGATCAGCAGTGGGGGAGGGGCAATCCATCCATGGGGGCACTGTGGCGATCAGCGCACTTGGTGAGCTGCCATTGGAGTCCGCTTGGCGGATGCAAGCCCCATGCTGCCTTTTCAGGTAAGTGCCAACCCCCACGGTGTGCCATTTTGTCACACACACACCCCTCAAGAATGACACCCAGGGTGGGCTGCACCCTCCACACACCCCTTCCTACACCCCTGATGGGGGTCTCACTCCTGCCAGCAATTCTGCTAACTGCAATTTCCAGACCCAGCACAGTGGAAGCCCCACACGGAATGCATTGCGGTAATCCATTTCTCGGGAGCATAGTGATGTAGAAATCACACACCTTCACACATTTCCCCAAGAAATCACACACCTTCATATATTACCCATAAGGAACCTATGTTGATAAATGTGTTCCTAAAACCAGAAGTGTCATTATGTGCCAAAGAAAACCCACACCTGACTTTATCACAAAAGTTTGTCTTTATTTACTTTATTTTGCTGTTTGTTTTACATAAAGTTATTTGCCTCTGCAAACCTTTTATTTTACTATAAGTGTTTAGTTACACGTCTTTAGAAGGATACAATCTCCATACATCTTATCTGAACTCAATAAAGAAATTGTAGAGAAACATCAATTGTTGTTAAGCAAACCATTGAAACGATGTATAAATATATATTCCATGTAGTTTTTGTTTGTAACTGTATTTTGGTCGTAACAAAAAGCAATGTATCTTTTGACCACAGATTTCCCAGAGGAGAAATCTTCTGATCATAACCTTCTTCCTCTGCAATTCCAGCAACTTTGCATCAACACTGAGCCTGCAGCAAACAAGAAGAATTAACTCCCATATCACACCCAGTTTCTAAAAACCGGACTCCATTGTGTCCCCGGAATCCAACTATCAACCTACCTTTTAAACCCACCAGGACTCTTTTGCACCTACCTTGCCTGCCAAATGTAAATTAGTTTGCACCTGTGTGTTTTTGTTTCTGCACCTGTGTAATCGTTTTTGGACTCCTCACCTATGTACCCACATATAACCCAATCTCTCACACCCACAACCCAAAAATGTAGTGTACCTACCTTACCATAGTAAATGAAAGTGTTACTCACCTGTAGATGGGGTTTTTCCTTTTGCTTTGCCTTGGGGGTACCCAGTTGCAACTGAAATAAAGGATCCATAGCTTAAGGCTGCCTTGTTTTTGTCTCTTTGGTTGCTGGCTTTTCCAAACCTTGATATTGTAATTTTTCCATCAATAGGAGTCAACTCCTAGGGGCCAAGGTCCCTTTGACTCAACACCACCCCCACAAGTTGATGGTCATTGCCGTTCAAATGGTGTGTGTGTGCCACGTATTGTGATCGCGGGGCAGGGCTTAGCTGGGCCCTCTGAATGTTTTCTTCAAGTTGAGAGTTACCAATGCCTAGATCAGGGGTCAGCAAACTTTTTCAGCAGGGGGCCAGTCCACTGTCCCTCAGACCTTGTGGGGGGCCAGACTATATTTTGAAAAAAGAAAAGAATGAATTCCTATGCCCCACAAATAACCCAGAGATGCATTTAAAATAAAATTGCACATTCTACTCATGTAAAAACATGCTGATTCCCAAACCATTCGCAGGCTGGATTGAGAAGGCGATTGGGCCGCATCTGGCCCCCGGGCCGTAGGTTGCCTACCCCTGGCCTAGACTAACATACCCTCCCACATTTCTCTGATGAAAATAGGGATGATGATAATAATAATAATAATAATAATAATAATACAATACCCAACTGACTGGGTTGCCCCAGACACTCTGGACAGCTTTGAACATGTATAAAAATGGAACAAAACATTACACGTTAACAAACTTCCCTATACGGGGCTGCCTTCAGATGTCTTCTCAAGGATGTATAATTGCTTATCTCCTTGGCTCGGGATTCGCATAACTCCATACCCTCCAACATTTCTCCAATGAAAATAGGGACATCCTAAGGAAAGTGGGACACTCTGGGATCAAATCAGAAACTGGGGCAGATTCTGTAAAGCCAGGACTGTCCCTGGAAAACAGGGACACTTTGAGGGTCTGGACTAGTCTGGTCAAGCTATTCCAGTCCACAAACAGACAGGCTGTTGTTGCTGCCAAAGGCATTCATAGCCACTGAGGCAGAGTTCCTATCTTCTAACCTGTCGCTAAAATGCCTATATCTAAATTTTTTCCCTCCATAGTTTCTGCAACTGTTTCTGTATGAGGCTCCAGTCACCACTAGATGGCTTCTAAGCATGGCAGATTGCAACAGAAGCAACAGATATTGCTAAACTTCTAATCACTTCCCAGCATTTGCCAGAACAAAACATATAGGGTCACTCCTACTCGCTGCAGTGTTTTAATTGTCCTCGGTGCGTTTTGTTTTGTTTTGTTTTGTTTTGTTTTGTTTTGTTTTATTAAAAAGGGCAAGATTCAAATGTGTAGCACTTCAAACATGGGTTTCTGTGTTTGCTTTGCACGATGCCAAGACCGGGTGGTGGCAACTCTGACAGTCATGTTGCTGTTTCTTGGCATTCAAGGCCAATCTGAAGTGAGTTGGTTGTTGTTTCATTTATGGTCGATTCCCACCCACCTCCACCATTTACATAGGTCTCCACATCATGCCAATCCTGAAGCTGAAGCTCCAATACTTTGGCCAGCTCATGAGAAGAGAAGACTCCCTGGGAAAGTCCCTGATGCTGGGAAAGATGGAGGGCACAAGGAGAAGGGGACGACAGAGGACGAGATGGTTGGATAGTGTTCTCAAAGCTACCAGCATGAGTTTGACCAAACTGTGGGAGGCAGTGGAAGACAAGAGTGCCTGGTGTGCTCTGGTCCATGGGGTCACAAAGAGTCGGAAACGACTAAACAACAACGACAACCACATCATGCCAACTGCAGCTGCGCATCTGATGCTAGATGATACCAGGGGGGTTACTGGAATGATCCAATCGGGCAGCAGTAGCCCCAGGTGCAATTGGGGGACATGGAATAAAAATAAGAGGGCGGTGGAAGTGTAAAGAAACAAGAGAAGAGAATAAAATTTTGAGAAACCATTCATACATGTTTCATCTGTTGTGTAATGACGCTTACCAACTTAACAGAAAATCATGGTGGTTATTTTCCAAATAAACACACAAAATGCAAGTTAACTTTAAAAAAGAGAAACCTGCTAAAAATAGCCAATCGTGGTGATTTTAGAATGCTGCTGCCAAAATAGAGCTGAACATTAATAAATTGGCAGCAGCACCACCGGTTCATCCTTCTCATTGGGATTATCTTTAATGTTATTCGTAATTTTTATTTGAATATTATCCTTTGTTGCCTTAATTTTCTGTGTGCGATGTGAATGTTACTATAGTTGATTTTAATAAATAATTTTATTGTTTCAAGCTTCAACATATCTTATTTACAACATCTTCTTTCATCACTATGTGGTAGGACATAGGTAGGAATACAGCAACATAAAAGAATGCAAATTTGTCATGGCAACTTTCTGTCTGTTCGCTTAAAGAAGGCAGATTTCCAGGGGGGGCGCAGGGCCAGATTTAGGTTTGATGAGGCCCTAAGTTACTGAAGGTAATGGGGCCCTTTATATGTCCAGCTGTCCTTTGTCAACAACAAATTGTTGCTGTTTTTTGTGTTGAATATATGCTATATGGTAATTTATGGACCTAATAGCTATCTAAAGCCATTTGCACATCACAAATAGGAGCCTACACGACACAAAACACTGTTGCTGTATGTAGATTTTATTTTATTTGTTTTTTTATCTCATATTTTGGAAATGTACATCCAGGTTTTTTTCCTTTAATTTTTTTGGGGGGGCCCAAGAGAGTGGGGCCCTAAGCTATAGTTTGTTTAGTTTATATGTAAATCTGGCATGGGGGGGCGCTATTTTTTTTCTTCTAGAAGAAGAAGAAGAAGAAGAGTTTGGATTTGATATCCCGCCTTTCACTTCCTTTAAGGAGTCTCAAAGCGGCTAACATTCTCCTTTCCCTTCCTCCCCCACAACAAACACTCTGTGAGGTGAGTGGGGCTGAGAGACTTCAAAGAAGTGTGACTGGCCCAAGGTCACCCAGCAGCTGCATGTGGAGGAGCGGAGACGCGAACCCGGTTCACCAGATTACAAGACTACCGCTCTTAACCACTACACCACACTGGCTCTCAAATGAGAGTAGTAGGCCAAATGAGTTTGGGAAACTCTGATCCAAATGGATGCCATGTAGCACCCTTTCCCCCATCTCAACAGCCACAATATAAAGCAAGGGAGGGGAATCTTTCTTCAGCCCAAGGCCCGCATTCCCTTCTGGGTTACCTAACAAGGGCCACATGCCAGAGGAAGGCAGGGCCAGAGGCAAAAGTGAGTGGAGCAGCAAATGTAAATTTTACGTTTGTACAGGAAGAAGAAGAAGAAGAGTTTGGATTTGATATCCCGCTTTATCACTACCTGAAGGAGTCTCAAAGCGGCTAACATTCTCCTTTCCCTTCCTCCCCCACAACAAACACTCTGTGAGGTGAGTGGGGCTGAGAGACTTCAGAGAAGTGTGACTGGCCCAAGGTCACCCAGCAGCTGCATGTGGAGGAGCAGGGAATCGAACCCGGTTCACCAGATTACGAGTCCACCGTTCTTAACCACCACACCATGCTGGTTTTGACACATACCCTCCACGCAGGCAAGCATGGGGTGTTATCAGAGTTCCAAGGGCACACTACAGTCATGGATGAAACATTGGATGAGCATCTCCTCAATTCCTTCAGCCAAGACATTTATAAAGATGTTGAACAACACAGGGCAGAACCCTGCAGCCACTGGCAGAGGAACAGGGGTGCGGGGGGGGGGAACCCACCGCCCCTGGTGGCACTATCCTGGTGGGGTGCCATCGTGACTACACCCCCCCCCCACTGGGCGCCACACTCCCTCAGGCGGCACGCCATGCTCCCAGGATGGACGGCACGCCCCCCGGGACGCACATCACGCCCCTGCAGGCAGCATGCCACGCCCCTGGGACGTGCACCAGCCACGCCCACACCTGCTCTCTGTCCCATCCCCCCAGAGCTTAAGGCTCCGCCACTGTTTGCAGCACCCCACTTGTCAGTCAGTCAGTCAGCTACAAATCCACCTAACAGTTACCTCATCCAGCCCACATTTTACTAGTTTCTCCACAAGAATATCCTGGGGAACTTGGGGTCCAAAGCAGGACCAGTGAAGGGTGTGGCCTGGGGAGAACTTGGGAGCCAGACAGCTGCCATGCCTGAGGCCGTCCACCCCTGATATAAAACAGAGACAAACTGTAAAGCAGGCTTCCTCAACCTCGGCCCTCCAGATGTTTTTGGCCTCCAACTCCCGTGATCCCTAGCTAGCAGGACCAGTGGTCAGGGATGATGGGAATTGTAGTCTCAAAATTTCTGGAGGGCTGAGGTTGAGGAAGCCTGCTGTAAAGGGTAAAGAGAAGGAAGCCCTGCTAGGATTCTGTATGTGCAGAAATGGAAGGAAGAAGAAGTTCCAACCAAAGTGGAAAGGATAAGTGGGTTAATGGATTATGTATCTCAAATATTTCCATGAAGATAAGAAAAATGATATAATCCTGGCCGCAGCAAAATTTCTCTGGGAGGTAGTAAGAATTAGAAATATTGGATAAAACACAGTGACTGCCTAGTAATGTTTTTTTCCTGTATTTCTGCTGTACTTTGCTTTTGAAATCACTTTTGCCGGTTTATGGACCGTAATAAAGAGTGCATTGTGTGTGTGTGTGTGTGTGTGCGCGCATGCGCGTGCGTGTGTGCGCGCGCACGCAGAACTGGCAAAATTAACAGCGAAATTAAGAAAATCTAATGGTGAGTGTTTAATGGAAGAATGGATGCTCTCTTCAGACAATTTAAAGAAATATTATAGTATGATGAACCTGTGAGCAGGGTTTGGCCTATGAGCAACGGAAATCATATCTATCAAATCATAACCACAATATTGTCATCTACAATACTGTGGTTATGATTTGAGAGCTAGAAGACAGGGTGCAGAAGATATACAGCATACAAAGGTGTGCACAGCTTGGCCAAAACAGCCTCGTGGGCCACATGGAGAAGCCTGGCAGGCTGAATTAGGCCTGCAGGTCTGAGGTCCCCCATCGCTGTGTGTGTTTAATACAACAACAATCTTTATTATGGTCCAGAGACCCAACAAATCGTTACAAAGCAATACACAATTCATACAGCCTACCTCCAGGTTAAACAAGCATTTTGTTCAGAATATAGGGATCATTGGTTCTTGCAACCACCAATAAAAACTTTGGCACTGCTAAAGTTCTAGCATTTGTTCCAATAGGAATCTGACATAGTGAGCCTCTGATTTTCCCGGGAAAAGCACCAGCAAGGGTAGTATCAGTTCAGCCCTCACTAGCTCATAGTTTCCACAGTGCAACAAAATATGTTTTATGGAATCAATGTCTTGAGCTCACGAGCAATACAATTGTCCCAAATGTCTAGTGCAGGTTGAAAGATAGAGAAAAGACAGAGTGAAGCAACAGTCTGCAAGTCTGTCAATTTTGTAGTTAATTCCTTATTTTATATTCTCTTTTGTAAACACCATTGAGGTTTCTCGGGGCGGGGTGGGGGTGCATGTGACAAAAGATACAGTCTCTTGTTCAGGCATAGGCAAACTTGGCCCTCCAGATGTTTTGGGACTACAACTCCCATCATTCCTGACCACTGATCCTGTTAGCTAGGCATGATGGGAGTTGTAGTCCCAAACATAGCTGTCAACCTTCCCTTTTTTGCAGGAAATTCCCTTATTCCAGTGCCGTTTCCCGCTGCTTCCCGCTGCTATCCTGGATTGTTAGATATCCCATAGACTGTCCCCAGGACAAGTGAGGCTGCTGATCCCTTATTTTCAAATCTGAAAGTTGACAGCTATGGTCCCAAAACATCTGAAGGGTCGACTTTGCCTATGCCTGCTCTTGTTCAACAGATAGACCTAACAGAGACTGGTGGAGTGCTCTGCTGGAAAAGCATTACAGTTTGCTTTCTGGGGTTGGGAATGGCAGCGTGGAGGCTGGCGAGCTCTTGTTAAGAACCTGTCTGAAGCAGCCAAACAAACAAAACAAACACAACATTGCTTCACCCAGATATCACTCCGAGATTGCAAAAGAAATTTTGGTGTCGTAACCCAGTTGAACTAAAGCCTTGACATGAGGAGGAGATTAGCTTAAAGATCTCCTCTCCATTGGGAATTTAAAAGCCCGGTTGCTTGGGCTAATCACTGTTGGGAGAATAAAAGCATTTTCATTCTGCTGAGCAGTAAATCCCAAAATAGTGGTCTCTTTGTGTTCCTTATCCAGGCTCGGAAAACTCCTGATTGCCCTTGTGAATATCTTCATTTACATTTAAGAACATAATCATAGAATTGTAGAGTTGGAAGGGATACCAAGGGTCATCTAGTCCAACCCCCTGCAATGTAGTACTATTGGCAAGCCAGGAGTCTCACCTCTTATATTTGTGCAGCTGGTTCTTCCTGCCTAAGTGCAGAAGCTTGCATTAGTCCTTACTCAAATTCATTTTGTTAGTTTTGGCCCAGTTCTGCAATCTGTTACGGTCATCTTGAATCCCGATTCTGTCTTCTCTGGCATTAGCTCCCCTCCCAGTTTGGTGTCATCTGCAAATTGGATAAGCATCCCCTCAATTCCTTCATGCGAGACATTTTTAAAGGTGTTGAACAGCACTCCACTTGTCACTTTTTTCCAGGGTGACGAGGAACCATTAGTGAACACTCTTTGGGTTCAGTCAGTCAGCCAGCCACAAAACCACCTAACAATTACCTCATCTAGCCCACATTTCCCCAGCTTCTCTACCAGAATATCCTGGGGGACCTTGTCAAAAGCCTTACTGAAATCAAAATACACTACGTCCGCAGCATTCCTCTGATCCACCAAGCTTGTAACTCTATCAAAAAAAAGAGAGATTTGTCCGGCATGACTTGTTTTTGAGAAAGCCATTAATCACAGCGTCATTTTCTGTTTAAATAATATGTTCTAGGACCTTTCCTGGTATCAATGTCTAGTTGGTACGTACCTGGGTTGTCTTCTTTTTCCCCCCTTTTGAAGATGGGGAAAACATTTTCCCACCTCCGGTCTACAGGGACCTCAGCTGTTCTCCAAGAATTCTCAAAGATCATAGACAGAGGCTCTGAGATTATATCCACAAGCTGCTTTAGTGCCTTGGGTGCAACTCAACAGGCCCTGGAAATCTGAATTCATTTAAAGTAACTAGGTGTTCCCTTGCCACCTCTTTTCCTATCTTGGACTTCAGCTCACTCCTTGCATTCTGTGGCCCATCTAGTCCTGTTCTCACAGTGGTCCACCAGATGCCCCAATGAGAAGCCCATGAGGAAGACCTCAGCACAGCAGCACTCTCCCCATCTTTGGTTCACAGCAACTGGTATTAAGAAGTATTTCTGCCTCCAACTGTGTAGGCGGATCATAGCCATCATGGCTGGTAGACATCAGTAGTGTTCTACTCCAGTATCTTAGGCTGAACACCTTATCATGTGGAACCACCAAGGTCTGTACTTGCCTCATTTTCAAGCCTTCCAAGTTGGTTGACCATCACTGCCTCTCGTGGGAGTGAGTTCTGTAGTTTAACTCTGCACTGTGTAAAGAAGGACTCTCTTTTATCCAACCTGAATCTCTCAACACTCAAGTTTCATTGAGTGTCCATGGGTTCCAGTGTTAGGAGAGAAGGAGAAACACTTTTCTCTGTCCACTGCCTCCAGGCTATCAGCAATCTTATAAACTGCTATCATGTCCTTCTCTTGATCACCTTTTCTCCAAACTAAAAAGTCTCAGACTTTGGCCAGTGGTGGCTGGTGCCCTTTGGAACTGGTGGGGTGGAATGCAGGGTACCCTGACAGTAGGTGGCGCCAGAGCCAATGACAGGCAGAGCTAACCGATTCATGTTTTGTCAACGGTGCACCTCCCTGCTGCATTGTACAAGACCAGGGGTCAGCAAACTTTTTCAGCAGGGGGCCGGTCCACTGTCCCTCAGACCATGTGGTGGGCCGGACTATATTTTGAAGGAAAAGAATGAACAAATTCCTATGCCCCACAAATAACCCAGAGATGCATTTTAAATAAAAGGACACATTCTACTTATGTAAAAACACGCTGATTCCTGGACCGTCCGCAGGCCGGATTTAGAAGGCGATTGGGCCGGATTCGGCCCCTGGGCCTTAGTTTGCCTACCCATGTACCAAATGGACAATTGCATTTTTGTGGCAGAGCAATTGTAAATTCAGTAAGACCAGTTGGTAGGGCAGAATGTGGTACCGCTTCATAGGTTAACAGAGCACTGTAGTCTCATGTGGGGTGAAACTGACAGCGACAGGTTTCCGGAGGACCAGGTCTCTTTTATTTGCTTTATTAATTCTTACCTAGAGGAACCTCAACCATCTGCTATTCATTTTGGAGGGCCTGGTGTCTTAATTCTAGGCATGTTGCCCTAGTATGCTTTTGTTAATACCATTAATTTTTGAATGTTTGTCTTAGTTTGCTGCACGGTATACAGGTGTTGCCATATTCTGAAGAGCAAGAAAGGGGACACATTTGCCAACTTCTGCTTTTAACTATGGATCGCTGTGAGGACTCTACCCATGAAAAAGATGGTGTGCCCTGGAAAAAAGAGGACATATGGCAACCCTTTTCCAGCCCAAGGCAGGAATCGCAACTAAAGAATCCCTAATAGATGCCCACCTAACCTCCAATGAAGGAGAGTCCACCACCTTCTGGGGTGGTCTGTTCCACTGTCAAACAGCTCTTACCACCAGAAAGTTCTTCCTAAGGTTTAGTCAGAATCTCCTTTCTGGCAGTTTGAACCCATTGGTTTGGATCATACCCTCAGGAGCAGCAGAGAACAAGTTCGCTCCACCTTCCACGTGACAGCCTTTTGGCAATTTGAAGATGGCCATTGTATCACCTCTTGGGCTACTTTTCTCCTGGTTAAACATACCCAACTCCCTCAACTGTTCTTCATCAGGCTTGGTTCCCAGACCCCTTGATCATCTTGGTTGCCCTCCTCTGTACATGTTCCAGCTTGTCAATATCCTTCTTAAACTGTGGTGCCCAGAATTGGACACAGGACTCCAGGTGAGGTCTGACCAAGGCAGAATAGAGTAGAAAAATGGATGTGCCCTTTGCTTTATGTAGGCTACATTCCAGACACACAAAAGTCCTACACACACCTCCATCCTGGCAAGCAAAAAGCATTATCAGAGTTCAAGGACAGTTTCCAGCCAGGAAAAATAAAGCACTCAGGGAGTGTGTGGAGTAGGGCCATGTGAGGACTTGGGTTTGGACAGTGTCCTAGAGGGCAGTTTTGAGTTTCCACACTGCTGATTTAAAAAAATACAAGTAGAAATACTTGAAATATTAGCTTGGAGTTTATTTTATATGTATTTATGTATGTACCCAACTCACTTTGCTCTGCCCTGCTATGGAGGTTGTGTGACGACATTATTATATTTTTATTATACAGACTTGTCTAGGTGGATTACCAAAGGCTCCAAAACATCTCTGACATTTTCTTTTGGAGAGACTGGAGTGTCATATGTTTGTCTGGCTCAACTCTCGGCTGGGAACTTTACAGGGAATGACACCGCACAAAGGGTGTTGTGTAATAGGTTGATTGCTGCATAGTACCTCTAAGGTTTAGAGTAAGGATCAGCAACCATTTGATGTCCATGGGCGCATTTGCAAATAAGAGAAACTGCAGTGCATACCACATGTGCATACCTCATAAGTTATTCTATGAGCTGAAGCAGAATGCTTCTTTAAAGTGAAATTTAAGGAGAGGGAAGGACTCTCTGGGTACCAGAGGCAACCTCTGAAGGTGCATCAGTGGGGCAGCATGTAGTAGTATTACTACTACTAATAAAAGTGGTACCTCGGGTTAAGTACTTAATTCGTTCCGGAGGTCCGTTCTTAACCTGAAACTGTTCTTAACCTGAAGCACCACTTTAGCTAATGGGGCCACCCACTGCCGCCACACAATTTCTGTTCTCATCCTGAAGCAAAGTTCTTAACCCGAGGTACTATTTCTGGGTTAGCAGAGTCTGTAACCTGAAGCGTCTGTAACCTGAGGTACCACTGCACTGCTACTTCAGTATCCACTGGGTGGAACCTTCCTCCCTAATACTCCTTTTCTGCCTGCAAGGACTTCTCTTTTTCCTTTTGCATGCAGACAGTCAGGCAAAATCCCATAGGTACATAAGAAGTGCCTTCTGGATCAAGCCAATGGTCCCTCTAGTCCAGCATCTTGTTCTTACAGTGGCTGACCGGATGCTCGTGAGAAGCCCACAGGCAGGATCTGAGCACACAAGCCATTTTCCCCTCGTGTAGTTTCCAACAACTGGCATTCAGAAGCCTCAATGCCTCCAGCTACGGAGGCGGAGGATAGCCATCAATCCTCTTTCCCTGCCATCCAGGTTGTTGGCCATTGCTGCTTCCTGCAGGAGCGAGTTCCATAGTTTAACTAGGCATAGTGCAAAGAAATCCTTTCTTTCCTTTCCTCGGCGTGGAGGCGTCTGGAACAGGAGCAGGAGGCGCCAGCTTGGGCAACTGGGCCATTGTCACCCTGGAACAAAAAGGAAATTTCCAACCCGGACTTTGAAACATATGCTGCACACAACCCGGACTTTGAAACTTACGTTGCACCCCACCCCGTCCCTCAATAGCCCAGTCTCAGCACTCAGTTTAGGAAACACGTGCTCGTGTGTGTTATCAGCAGTGTATGTATGTTAAGGGAGGAGGAGAAAAGAAGAGGGAGCTTCGGCTGGCTGTTGCCGCTGCCTCTCAGTTACAAAGTACTTGAATTACAGCCTGCGCAGGCCCAACGTGGCATCCAGCAAGTCCCGGCTTGCAGGCTTGGAAAGGAGGAGGATGCAGGCGAGAGCCTGGCTCGCGCTTTAAAGTTGCGTGCCTGTTTGTGCTTGTGTGTGTGCGTGTATGCGAGGCGCTGCTTGGGGGAGGGGAGCGAGCCCAGCTAGCCACTAGCAAGGAGATCTTCTCTGTCTCCCTCTCCCCCCACCCCAACCTCCAACAATACTTTAACTGTCAATCAGGCTTAATAGGGTATAAAACCTGCTCCCAGGGCAAGGGAGCCGCGCCGGGAAGATAAGAAAGTGTCCCAGGAGGAGCAGCCAGAGGTCGCCGAGAGGGAGGCGGGCAGGCAGGCAGGCAGCGCGAGTCGGACTCCTTCCCTGCCTCGGATCGGCGGCTCCGGAGCAAACAAGAAGCGGCCAAGGCTCTCCGCCACTTCTTTTCGCGTCTGCGTAAGAAAAAGCAGAGGAGGAGGCGGAGGCGGGCAAAGGCGGCGGGGAGTTTTCTTTACGCGGCGTATGTATAGAAGGGGGAGGGACCCCGGCGCGCTGCCCTGAACCTCCCCCCCCCCCGGTCACTGTTTTGTTTTTTTAAAGCCAACTCCTTCCAAAAGTCTCTTTTTTTCCAACCCCTTCCCCGAGAAGCAATTTCCTGAACTCCCCAGAATAGACATGAGCTGTCTGGAAAAGCGCTGCCGGCTCCCCATGCAGACGCCGCCGCCTCGGAGAGCTTCTGGGGGGCTTTCCAGCCCTGCTTAGACGGCAGAACGCTCTCCAAAGGAAACAAGGAGTTTTCTTTCGCGAAAGCGGAGAAACAGGCTCGATCCTCTCCGGGATCCCGATCGCCCAGCAACTCTGGAAAGTTCTCCCGAGCTGTTTGTTTTGAGATCTCCCGCTCCTCAGCGCGGCTGCTCTTGCTTAGCACTTTGGGAGAGCCCCAGCGCAAGATCTGTATATCTATATTTATACATCTATATGTGTACTCGGAAGTAAGCTCCGTTTTTAAGCGGGCTGGCGCCCGGGTAAAGCGTACCTAGGACGGCGGCTTTCCATTGGATTCTCTACCCACCTGCGAGGAAGTCCGACCGAGGAAGCCAGAAACTCGTGCAACGCCAGAGCGGACTTTTGCGCGCAAGCTCGCGCAACCCATCTTGTCTCTCTCCCCCCCCTTTTTTTTTTGTTTTGTTTTTTTGTTTGGCGGGGTGGAGGTACGTTTGCCTAGGATCCGACACACACTTTTGGACGCCGTGCTCCCCCTTCCCCACCCCTCCTCCTCGACGGACTCCTCAAAATTCCCTCCCTCTTCGTGCGTAACCCCCCCAACCCAAAGAGGATGGTTTGGAGACGCCTGGGCGCTCTGCTGCTCTTCCCGGTGCGGATGCTTTGCTTGGTAGCCAAGGCGGCGGCGTCCACGGTGCTCCCCAGCAAACTCCGCGACTTGGCCGGGGACAGCGTGCTCATCACCGGAGGAGGGCGAGGCATCGGGCGCTACTTGGCCAAGGAGTTCGCCAGACGCGGCGCCCGCAAGGTGAGAGGCTGGGAATAATGGGTGGCAATGATTTGAAGGCTGGGTGCGTGCGCCTGCTGGGGAGCGCTGGGGGGGGGGTCCAACCTGAAGCTGCCTTCCAGGTACCCCTTCCAACTTCTCCGCTTGCATCTGTGAAGCATAGCAGCCAACTCCTAGAGGCCGAGGAGACTTTGCCCGCCACCCACCCTACAATAAAATATTTGAGGGTGCCTGCCCCCCCTAAAGTTGATGGGCATTGCCATTCAAATGGTGTGCGTGTATCGTGCCTTGTGATTGATTACACGGTGTGCGTCTTACCCGGACCCCCAAAGTATTTTATTCAAGTTGGCATCCTTGCGGTAAAGGGACCCTGCAATTTAAGGGTTTGCCTGCAGGCCAACTGAATTCTACTCAAGAGTAGATTCGTGGAAATGGGTGAGCCTGTTAGTTGTGCCCATTAGCCTGAATGGGTCTGCTGTTGGTTTATTGCATTGATACCCGACCTTTTCTCTCTCTAAACAAGCTACTTGAGGGGGCCTACATGGTTCTCCCTTTCTTCATTTAATACACAACATCAACCCTGTGAGGTTGATTAGGTGGAGAGACAGTGACTGGTTCCAAGTCAGTGTCATGGCCAAGTAGGGATTTGAACCGTGCTCTGCCAAGCTCCTAGTCTGACACTCTAACCAGTAGGCTACCACTGGCTCTCATTGACTAGCCTTGGCTGCAACCCTAAAACTGGGAGCAGGGCAGGGGAAGCACACCTGAAGCTGCCTCTCTCACCACCTCCCAACTTCTCTACTTGCATTGGTGTGGCAGAGATTGTGCAATGAAGACAGGGCAGCCTAATGGTCAAGGCTGCATTCCTAATCCCACTTAACCTGGGGTTCTGAGGGGAGTAGGAGGAGCCTCCGCTTGAAGCTACTTTCCAATCCCCCCCCCCCGCCTCCAATTTATCTGGCTGCATGAATAGAGCAACTGTGCAAGTGACAGATTGTGCAATTAAGGTGGAGTTGCCCGGCGGCTCATGCAGCAATTCTCAACCCACTTAACCCGGAGAGCAAGCCCCACTGAATCAATGGGACTTGCTTCTGAGAAGCCATGTTTAGGACGCAGCCTAAATTGCGGGCAGTGCCCTGCAATGAGGGAGATGCCACAGATCTCTGATCAGTTGGCTCCCACACCCAAAACTCAGGTGGGCTGGCTTGCCACATTTTATTTATTCATTAACTTAATTTCTACCCCACTCCCCATTTTATTCCACAACATCCCTGTGATTATAGGGTGAGAGACAGTCTTGGAAGGTCACCCGAGGGAGCTTTATGGCTAAATGGGGATTTGAACCCTGGTCTCTCAAGTCCTAAGTCGGACCCTCTAATCACTACACCTGAAGCAAGTAAAGTAGCCAACTATGCCATCTAAAGGAATGTGTCTGTGCATACAGGTTTAAAACCACTTTACAGCACCACTGGCAATGAATTGGGTAGCTCCCAGTTCAGATCTCAACTCTGCCTTAATTTGATCCTAGAGACTTAATTTAATTTGATCCTTGAGAGTTGGAAGGGACCCGAAGCATCATCTAGTCCAACCTGCTGCAATTTCCCTAATGGTCTTCATCAAGCCACTCTTTTTGCCCACCCTTCAACTACAATATGAGGAATATTAATCTAGATTACAGGGTTATTGTATGGATTATGGTTTCCAGATAATGCATGAAGGATAATATCCCGAGTCAGGCCATTGGTTCATCTAGCTCAGCCTACACTGACTGGCAGTGGCTGTCCGGGTTTCAGGCAGGAGTCTCTCCCCACTCTGCTGGGAATCAAACCGGGGACCTTCTGTGGTAGATGCTTTACCACTGCAGCTCTCAGGGGTTGCCAAACTGTTTGGGCACACGGGTGCATTTGCAAACTCTTGTGGGCGCCATGTGCCTTATGTGATCATCCACACATGCACACACTGTGTTTATGAGCCATGTGTCATGCAAAGGTTAAGGCTGTGGTCCTAAGCAGCTCCTGGAAGAGCTGTGTAGCTCAGTGGCTGAGCATCTGCCTTGCAAGCAGAAGGTCCCAGGTTCAGTTCCTGGCATCTCCAGGTAGTAGTAGGAAAAGACCCTTTTCTGAAACCATGCATAGCCTCTGCAAGTCAATGTAGATGATAATAAGCCAGATGGATCAATGGCCTGTGTTTGTATAAGGCAGCTTCCTATTTAAACCAAACTCTCTTTTTTCAAAACCATGAGGACTAGAACCCTGCTTTATTTTTTTAAGGGAAGGACCAAAGCTCAATGGTAGAGCACACCCTTCTGGTGCAAAAGATCCCCCGTTCAATCCCAGGCATCTTTAAGTAGGGCTGAGAGCCTGGAAGAGCCGTTGCCAGTCAGTGCAGACAATACTGAGCTAGATGGACCCAGTAGTCTGACTTGGTAGAAGGCAGTTTCCTATGTAACTCAATATGACTTTCTTCTGTATAGCCACGCATAGGATTGCATGGCTTATAGCACACATGTGCCGTTGGTGCTCTGTCAAGGTGATTTAAGCTTTCTTTCTGCCTGGCAGTTTTCACACTGCATGTGCAGCCTGGGTAAGGGATTTGCCTCCCCCCCCCCCCCAGCCCGCACACTGCTAGCAATATTTCTTGCAGATGATAAGGGAGCAGTCACGCCCAGGGAGGGGTAGACCTCCCACATCCAGCTCTCATTGAGCTGAATGACACCCCACGGCCCAGTGGAATGCAGCCAGACCATTACGGCTGTCTGGTTTGTTTGCTAAATGGAGAGGGGCTCTAGGGCGTCAGGAATATGTGCAAATCTTTATTTCCATGGGTGGCAGATGGCAGATCTGGAGCTACCGGTAAATGTCTGGGTAGTTCATAGCAGAGCAGCAAAGATTTATGACTCTCTACTGCTGGACATTGTTAGCAACCTTTGGGTAAACAGGAATGAATTTTACATGGGAGGGGTAGATGCAAAACTAGTTCCTGGGCTTACATTTACTCACAGTAGACCCATTGAAATTAAATGACGTGGTTAAGTAAGGTCCATAGAATTCAACTTACTTGAATACCACCCTCTAATCCTAAATCTATGGCTTCAAACACACCATGCAATTAAAGCACAAGACTCCCCTCCTCCCAAGAGTCCTGGGACCTTGGCTACAATTCCCAGCACCCTTGTCAAACTGCAGTTCCCAAGATTCTTTGGAGGAAGTCATGTGTTTTGAAATGTGCTTTAAATATTTGCAGATCTGGTCGTTTTGTACCTGACCCTTGTGTGGGTGGATTTGGGGGTTGGGAGGGGACCAACAGCCTGAAGTCTTCCCTCCCTTGATTATGCAACCACTCCATAATCTGGAGCATGTGGCAGCAGGTTGTGGCTTCCGGGAGGTGAAGGGAGTGTAGTTTGCACATGCCCAGAGAGGCAATCTGCCCTTTGATGTGGCTCGACTGAATGCAGTGGGTTTCGGAACAAAGGCAAATTTGGGACTGGCCTGTCTTGGGGTTCTGACATAAGAAGAACTCTGTGGAAAGTCTGTTTTGTCCATTTGCACACAGTGTGGAAAGAGAGGCTTCTTGGAAGCTCAGAATCTAGGGGCAAAGGCAATAACTGCACCACCACAACTTGACCACTGAACCTCAGCCTCCACAGAACCTCTGGGATAGCTCAGTCCTTAGAGCATGAGACTCTTAACCTCAGAGTCATGGGTTTGAGCCCCACATTGGACAAAGGATTCAGAATTGGACCAGATGACCCTCGGGGTCCCTTCCAACTCTACAATTCTGATTCTATGAAAACGAATTTGCTGAATCCTCTAAGCCAGTAGTCATTGCCACATCTTGTAGCTAAGTAGTGGTGACAGGTAAATTTAAACTCTGGTCTCAGAGGCAGTGTATCTTCAAATGGTAAGACTATGTATTGATTCACTTCCAGATGTGGAAAGCCAGCTCCCTAGGGAGTGGGACTCTGAGCTTCTACCCCAGAGTCCTGCTCCAATGGCACCCCTGCCTGCATGTTAACTACAAATTATAAGAAGAGCTGGATGGTCAGTTCCTTAGTTAGCTTGATGGGGATATTGGATAATGCAGTCTTTCCATAAGCTACATAGAACTGACGGACTCTCATTACTGCTTACTGGGCTGGCTGCATGCCAGGGGAACATTAGACATGGCTTGTTTGTTGCAGTCCATACCACTAGGGGGAGCTTCTCAAAAAAATTGCATTATAAGGACCCTTCCCGATTGGTGTTTCGCTGCGGGTGTACAGTGGTACATCAGGTTAAGTACTTAATTCGTTCTGGAGGTCCGTTCTTAACCTGAAACTGTTCTTAACCTGAAGCACCACTTTAGCTAATGGGGCCTCCCACTGCTGCCGCGCCGCCACCGCACGATTTCTGTTACCATCCTAAAGCAAGCTTCTTAACCTGAAGCACTATTTCTGGGTTAGCGGAGTCTGTAACCCGTAGCATCTGTAACCTGAAGCGTATGTAACCCGAGGTACCACTGTATCCTGCAACATGTGCTTGATTCATTGATAATGCATTAGCGGTGGGTTTGTCCTGCTTTCGTTTGTGCTTCCTCGATGCTGCCACAAAAGTGCTGTTTGGAGGTGCTACAGCACAACAAAAGCGAGACAAATGGCAACAGCAGCCCCCAAACATTTGTAGTATGAAAAGTTATGGGATTTCAGCAGGAAGTTACGAGGTATGCACCAATTGGAAATGAAGCAGTGTGACCCATCTAAAACTTCTGTCTGCATAAACAGCATTGAAAGTGGGATCAAGTATGACCCCCTCCCCCAATTGTATCATGAGCACCAATCATCATATATTTTCAATAAAAAGGACATCTGGGGATGCCCTAAGTAAGCCTTAGGATTCATTCAACCCAGTATTGTCTGCTCTGGACAGCCAAGTCTGTTGACGCAGGCGTCAAATCTGGGATTTCTGACATGCAAAGCCAGCTATACTTGACTGTGCAAGTGAGAGGCAGCGTTTCAAAAACTGAACATGAGGCCAAAGCAACCAAACTGGGGAATCTGGTTGGGTGACACCAGAAGAAAGGGGACGACTCTGTTGGTTTTGATTGGCGGCAGGGATTTCAGGGGGTGGGGCCCTGTGCTGGCATGTGCGCACACGTTGTGGTGGGGAAAACCCCTTCGTGCTTCCAAACGGCAGAGATGCCAATCTTGTTCCAGCTTGCACGGAAATAGGGAGTGTGTTCACGAGCTGTGCAGCTGACTGACACTTTGCATTTGTGATTTACAGGCTGAGTACACTCTTTGCTGTTTATTTATCATCAGTATTTTTATACCGTGCACATATGGGCGTTTGTACATACCAGGGGCTGCCACCCTTGCTTGGTTTGTTCACCCAACCAGTCCCCTTGCCAAAACAACCCCCTTCCCTTAGAACTCGTCAAAAGCCTTTTATGATTATCCCCCCACTTCTCACCCTTCCTCCGCCCCACCACCACCAATGTTGGAGGTACAAAAGAGAAAGGCAGGGTGGGTTGCAAAAGTCTTGTATCTTCTTCTGTTGGGATGAAGAGTTGGTCCAGCAGTAGGAGGAAGGAGACCAGAAGAAGCCAGCCAGCCAATCTGCGAATCGGCAACTGCTGCAGCAGTAGATTACCAGGGTGACTGGCTACCACTTCTGGCAGTGGTTATTCCCACACAGACTGACCCTTCATCCTAATTGGGTGGGTGGCGGGTGGCAGAGGAAACAGTGGCTCTCCAAGCTGCCCAGGGAGGAGAAAGGTCACCAGTAGCACAGTGCTGGCCACTGGAACCCAGTGGCAGGGCTCCCAGGGCTGGCAGACTGATGATTCAGCGGAGACCAAACCCATGGGACTCACTAATGTGTGTTAGCAATTGCAGCAGAGAAACAGGGGAGCAGGCGATTCTGGATTAACGGATTTGGCACAACGAAAGGTGCACTCCGGATCACTGGAACAAGGCAGGCTAGCAATAGCCAAGCTTCCCCTTCTTCTGGCTATAGGACTCTGCTTTAGCTGGCTGGAGAGACAGGGGTTATCGCAGGAAGTAAAGCAAGTATTTAGCTATGCTGGAAAGGTTGGAGAGTGAGGGAAAAAGCAAGCAGGCTGTTTTGCAGTAGGAAGAAGCACAGATCCTGACAGAGGACAGCTTGGGCCTCTGAGAGAAAAGGGTAGCCAGAGAGAATATTTTGCCACACTTCGTATTTTTGTGTGTGTGTGCTTCCTTGAATGACCTGGATACTAGGACTGGGGAATATCTGGTTTTCAACCTCGTGCTATATCACCAGCTAAAAATCGTGATATACTGATATATCACAATGTCTGAAATAAGGATGGAGCTATGTAGAGGAATTGGCTAGCTTCAGGGTTTTCCCAGCATTGTGATTTTTGCCTAGCACAAACCCATCATGATTTGTGATATATTGCCAGGTCAGAAATTATAAGACCAATATCACAATATGGACTTCAAACCAGTTTTTAGACGATATATGGATATATCACCCAGCCCTACTGGATACGAAGTGGATCAGTCCCTTGAGTAGTTCACAGAGCTGTGTGTACATTGGGGTTGGGAACCTCAGATGTGGCCCTCTAGGCCTCTATATCTGGCCCCATGGAATCTCCCCAGGTCGCTCCCAGCAGTCCTGCTTTGCACCTTATTTGAGTGTTTTTGCCTGGCTGGAATGTGTCCTTGAATTACAATTGTGCTTGTCCGGATCAGGGATAGAGCATAAAAACTTGCTTACTAAGCAAAAGTAAATTTGCATCTGCTGCTCCGCCCACTTTTGTCTCTGGCCCCGCCCACCAGCAATGTCACACAACCCTTGGAAGGTTGGCCAGCAGGAAATGCAGCCGTCTGACTGAGAAAGATTCTCCAGCCCTAGTGTAGGTTATTTCCAAGTGGTCTGTGGAGACGAGAAGTCTGGCTATCACTGCTCCAAGGTGTTCAGGTGCAGCGCTCTTGCTGAGAGCTCTGAGCATCGCTGTCAAGAGGTTCTCAGCACCGGTTGCGTTCAGCTCCTTCTTGAGCACCTCCATAAGCTTCTCGGCACCCACCAGGCTCCTGAGCCTTCCTCTGCCTGTTTCGCCATGTCCTCACATGCTCTTCCAAGAGCATGCGTCTCTGTCCAAGCCCTGCTTCTCAAAGCGAATTTCACTGCCCTTGCGGCTCTTGTTGAGTCCCTGCCACCTGTTTCATGTGGTTTCCGTATGGAGTTTCTCTTCCACGACGATTATGTAACTCTGGTGATTTTGCTCAACTGCTTCTTGTGGGCAGCTGCGCCTCCTGTTGATTAAGCTTAAGCCAATCTTCAAGCGTCGATCTGGAGGGGGGCCAAGAAGTCTTAGCCTAACAAGAAGAGGAAGAGAGAGGAAGAGGGCAGAGAGAGAAGGGTGGGAAGCCGACTTACAGCAGCGTGGGCCATCCAGTTACTTTCCATTGGGATGGAGACACTGAGGTGGTGGCCCTTCGCAGTGAAATCTTTCTTTTTTCAGACAAATTTTTATTGATTTTCACAGATTTTACAAATTTGCTTACATTTTAATATATGTTTCTCTTAGAATTTTGACTCCCCACCCTTACTTCCTTGCTGTTTTTATTCCCACCTTATATCTACTGTTTTATATGACATACTTTTCTCTAATACAATTATTCTCTATTTCACTTATCGTTGTTCTTGTCCCGCTGCGCATAATTCGAACCTTGTCCGTGTTTTCATTCGACTATAAGAGTTCTTCAACTGGTCCGGAAAGGGCTCTCTACTCTTCCATAAACAGTTTGTCTCTTTTACCTCTTATTTTTGCTGTCAAATTTTGCCATTTCCACATAGTCCATTCACTTTTGAAGCCATTTCTCCTTAGCTAGTACTTCTCCTTCTCTCCATTTCTGCGTGTACAGGATTCACAACAAAATCTTTCGCATGGACAGAATCCAGCTACGTTTCGCTGACAGGAGAACCTTTGAAATTAATGGACCCAAATGAGTCAGGACCCTTAATTTCATTGGGTCTACTCATGAGTAGGGCTAACATTGGCAATAACACTCTTGTCGCTTTCGGTTTCTCGTCCCCCCCCCCCAATTTTCAGTTCTCCATATTTCTGCAGGGATTTTGTGATTCTGTTTATTTTATATTAAAAAAGCCACAATGAAAATTCATCAGCATATAAATGCAAATTTCTCTTAATGTATCCTGCCCTGCCTTTTGCAAGCAGTGTCCCCAAGAGGATGCAGTTGGTGTGTTATTTTCATGAATGTGTGCAGAAAAATGCAGGATGGGCCTGTGCAGTCCAGAAGCCAGCAGCTGATGATACTGAGGCCAGCTAAGAAAGATCAGACTCACAGAGTTTGACCTTTGTCCCAGCAGGGATTAAATTGATTCTAATTAATAGGCTTCACAATGGAGGGCTACCTTTAGTGGAGTTTAAAGGGCTTGGGTCATTGGTGGGTTGTTGTTGTTGTTGCTTTTTCCAGTCTGCCATAAATTACATCTCTAATTAACTTGGGGTCCTCTTTGTAGCTGTCCTTTCCCCCCCTCCCTGCCCTCTAGCTTCTTAAATGCATCCCACTGCACTCCCAGCAATGCCAATATAGCTACCGTATTTTTCGCTCTATAACACGCACCCGACCATAACACGTACATAGTTTTTAGAGGAGGAAAACAAGAAAAAAAATATTCTAAACAAAACAGCGGATGTATGATTTTTGTGGTTCATGCTGTGGCCACAGACATGTGATCTGATGGTGAGTTTGGGGTAGCCCAATGCAAAAATCCTGAGGATCCATGTGGATCCATGCTTTGTAACCACGTTTTTGCACCACTGCGGCCCCAGGCAACAGTGGGTGCATGATTTTTTTGGTGCAAGCTGTAGCCATGCTATGTGATCTGACATGCTATGTGATCTGACATGCTATGTGATCAGCGGCTCTTCTCCCGCTTTGCTGTTTCAAAGCAAGCCACGGAGAAGGGAAGGAAGGGGAACCATGGATCCTCTGCTCACAACTGCAGCAGATCTCCCCGCCATCCGTAGGCATTCGCTCCATAACACGCACAGACATTTCCCCTTACTTTCTAGGAGGAAAAAAGTGAGTGTTATGGTGCAAAAAATATGGTATATTTGCAACCTGGGGGTGAACACACGCAGAAATAATTTTGTTTAGATTTTTTTTAAGAAAAGAAAAGACAGCCAGGGAATTAGGGCTTTTTGTGGTTGTCTTCTGCAACATGTCATCGATGCAGTAATAAGGCCTTAGCTGTGGACCATCCACTGGTCATTCCTCATTATTAGCTGTTCTCTGATGCGTCCACAATATTATGGTATTGTTGCCATCTGGAGGGATTTTATGGGGCTGCATTCACACCACAATTTATTCTGTCTCCCCAGCATTTCCTTGCCTGTTAATATTTCACAGAATCATAGAGCTCAAAGGGACCCCCCAGGGACTTCTCTTTCAACCCCTTGCAATGCAGGAACCACAGCTAAAGAATCTGTGGTAGATGGCTGTCCAATTTCTCTTTAAAAAACCTCCGCCGGAGGTGAGTCCACCACCTTCTAGGCTGGAATTGCTTGTGTGGAAGGCAAATCCTCGTGAGATGTGGTTCTCCGCTGTCCAACGCTATTCGTCCGACTTATCCAAAATAATGATTTGACATCTGAAAGTTGGGTTTGCAGAGGGGAGAGGACATTTGCATAAGTAAGGGGAAGCCTGGCAATCAAAGGATCCTTGGTGTGTGTGTGTGTGTGTGTAAGCACATCCGGATTGCTTGAGAGAATTGGCACCCGCTACCTCCTTTGTGGCTCAGGGTTCATCGGCTGGTCAGGCAGTTCCCCCCTCCCAACCTATGACATCATGACAATTTTGTTTATCCCTCACACAGAACAAGCACTGTGAAGGGAGAAATGGCTTCCGACTACTTGTCCCCCAAATCTTTCTTCTTTCTTTCTTTCTTTCTTTCTTTCTTTCTTTCTTTCTTTCTTTCTTTGCTTCAGTTCAGCAGCTGCAAGACACTTGAATCAGGAACCCTGCAGCCCAGCAATTTTTGCTCTCATCGACAAGCAAGCATGACAACAATAATTTCTTCCTCTTTCCTTTGAACTCTTTGCAAGCTGGTTGCACCGCCAGAGACCATTCCAGACTGGGGACGGTGGTGTTTTTTATTTTATTTTAAGCAAGTATATTCAGCAGCATGTCATGGACACAAGAATGGTACGCTAGTGGCAAACTTAACACTGAGCTGTCCAAATACCATAACAGCTTTGTTAGTTGTGCTCTGATGCTTGTAAGAGGTGTCCCGTTAGAAGTTTATAAGGTTAGGCATGGCATAGAGAACACACAAAGCTTTATTGCGGTCCACAGACCCAAAATACATAGTACAACAATAGTATATAGCAACAGTCATTAAGGTGTAAGATCAGCCTTGCTAGTCAACAGAGAAGCTTAAGCCTATACATACTGATTTCTGATTTTTACTGCCTCTGAGAGGAGTTTTGCTACATCCAGTGTAATAGTATCACACTTACCCTCAAGAAGAACCTTGACATGAAATGAGTTGGCCATTCCAGGTTGTTCTGACAGTACAGTGGTACCTCAGGTTACATACGCTTCAGGTTACAGACGCTTCAGGTTACAGACTCCACTAACTCAGAAATAGTACCTGGGTTAAGAACTTTGCTTCAGGATGAGAACAGAAATTGCGTGGCAGCAGCGGGAGGCCCCATTAGCTAAAGTGGATCCTTCAGGTGCTTCAGGTTAAGAACAGTTTCAGGTTAAGAACGGACCTCCGGAACGAATTAAGTTCTTAACCTGAGGTACCACTGTATTGGATTGCTTACCATGAAGTTGTTACAGTAAGGGCCACACATTTTTAACAATTTAAAAAATAGGTGCCAGTTCTACATACCCTTGAGTACGCCGCCCCCCCCCCCCAGGGGCGGGGGAAGCACTGGGTCTCGTAGGTTTAACAGTTTAGCATGCAGAATTTGCTTTGCTCTCTTGCCGCCACCCTGTTTCATCCCAGGGATTAGGAATCCAATGGAAGGAACTCCCCTATCCTTCTCAAAATATGTCACTGTATCTTTCCATTCTCTGCCGACACCTCTCGCTGTTTGCTTTCCATTATCTTTAATGCTCAAAGATTTGCCTCTGGCCCAACGGTGTTTACCATAGTTTCTCAGAGGTGTCATTAAGAGGCCTCTTAATGTCAGACTCCAAGCATCAAAAGGGTTTCTCTCCCAGCCTTGGACAATGGTCAACCTTTCACATATCTCCCTTGCACAAAAGCTTGCCAAATCTCTTTTTTATATATACATGCCAGTATGACATTACTTGGATTATCTTTTTTTTTAAAAAAGTAAGAGCTATTCCAGGAAGGGATGATAGTGCTTTATATATGGAGTCTGAGCACTGGTCCATCTAGCTTAGCATGGTCTGTGGTCCTCCAGATCTTGATGGGCTATAGGTAAAGGTAAAGGGACCCCTGACCATTAGGTGCAGTCATGGCTGACTCTGGGGTTGTGACGCTCATCTCGCTTTATTGGCCGAGGGAGCCGGCGTACAGCTTCCGGGTCATGTGGCCAGCATGACTAAGCCGCTTCTGGTGAACCAGAGCAGCACACAGAAATGCCGTTTACCTTCCCGCCGGAGCGGTGCCTATTTATCTACTTGCACTTTGACGTGCTTTAGAACTGCTAGGTTGGCAGGAGAAGGGACCGAGCAACGGGAGCTCACCCCGTCACAGGGATTGGAACCACCGACCTTCTGATCGGCAAGTCCTAGGCTCTGTGGTTTAACCCACAGCGCCACCTGCATCTATAGCTCCCATCAACCCTGTCTTCATGGAGGCTAAGGCTATTTGTGGCTGCTGGCCGTGATGGCTATACTCTGCCTCCATGAGCAGAGGCAGTGGTGCTGCTTCTGCATCCCAGTTGCTGGAAACCACAGGAGGGGAGAGTGGTCTTGTGGATGGGTCCTGCTTGCGGATTTTCCACAGGCATCTGCTCAGCCACTGTGAGAACAGGATACTGGACTAGATGGGCCCAGCAGGACAATTGTGATGACCTTATCTTCAAGGGCAGCCCAATGTAGAGCACACTGTAGCAGTCCAGTCTGGTGTCTCTGAAAAAATTTACACTTCACTTGGGAAGACAGGCGAACTAATGCCAGTGTACTGGAAGAAGCAAAGATCATCAGTGTTGAAGCAATGATTTTTCAACATCAACTTCGTTGGACTGGTCATGTTGTTTGGATGCCTAACTATCGTCTTCCAAAGCAACCAGTCTATTCCAAACTTAAAAGTGGAAAGTGTAATGCTGGTGGTCAACAAAAGAGGTTTAAAGACTTTCTCAAGGCAAATCTAAAATAATGTAGTATAAACACCAACAACTGGGAAACACTGGCCTGCGAGCACTCCAGTTGGAGAACAGCCTTTACCAAACCTTCACCGTGATCAACTCCTGCCCGGAAACCTCTGTCCCCACTGTGGAAGGACGTGTGGGTCTAGAATTGGCCTCCACAGTCACTCACTGTTAAAACTGTGTTTATGGAAGATGATCTTAATAGGCTACGAGTGATCGCCAGAGAAGAAGAAAGAAGAAGTCCAGTCTGGAAGCCATCAGAGCATGGAATGCAATGTGCATGCACATTGATCACAAGCCATTTTTACTATTTATAGTTCTGCTACAATCAGGTCCCATTCAATGGCTTCCCATGGAGGCATCTGCTTGGCCACTGTGAGAACAGAGTGGCAGACTAGATGGGCCATTGGCCTAATCCTGCAGGCCACTTAAATTCTTATGTTCACTGGCCATTCCGGCTGTGGCCGAGAGGACAACATATATAAGTTTTAATAACATTCACACGTCTCTCAGCAAGTTTCCCCACCAGGACGAAGCAAAGTCGTGGTTACCAGTATTACATTTAAGCAAACCCCTAGCTGCAGACAGCTGAAAAGAAGGGACAAAATTTGACCTCACCCAGTCCCTTTCTTCCATGACTGAACACAAACTTTGCTCTCTTTCAGCTACTGTTTGCACTTGCTCAAGCTGTTACCCTTTTGTCAACAGGTACCTTTGTGTGGCCCCGGCTGACAGATCCTTCCAGGCTTCGCGAGTTATGAAGTGCCCATTAAGGGCAGGCAGATCTGGTAGCATTGCTTTCTCTCTGCTTCTCATTTTTCCAGTCTTAAATTCAGGTCTCCGCATCTCTGGAGCAAATTCGCATTTTTGTAATATTAAAAAACAAACAGACCCACATCCTCGTTAAAATTCACCAGCGTTTTAAGTGCACGGTTCTCCTAACAGACACAATTTTTAATGCAGGTCTGGCACTTCCCCCTACTATAAAATATTTTTGTATGTTATTTTCACTAATATATGCATTTCGGGCTTGAAGCACCAACAAGAGTACCTTGAACTGGGTCCAGAAGTGAACTGGCAACCAATGCAGCTGTTTTAAAATGGGGTTTATATGGGGCACAGGATGCTAACTGTTGAGCAAAATGAAAAAAAATCTGGGGGAATGGAATGGAGTATCTTGGAAGGGGAAATGGCTGACTGGCTGGCACCTTACATAGGAAGCATACTGGGCACCGCAACTAGGTCAGCTGGTAGAGCATGAGACTCTTAATCTCAAGGTCATGTGTTTGAGCCCCATGTTGGGCAAAATATTCCTGCATTGCAGGGGGTTGGACTAGATGACCCTTGGGGTACCTTCCAACTCTGGAATTCTATAAGTCTATGCAACATTTATTGCAGGGCCGACTTTTGTTGGTATTTATTCCTCCTGGGCATCCTTCCTTTCGTCTGCTTGTCTCCAACAAAACCTTTCCCCCCTGTTTATCTATTGTCTGTACTCCTTGCATTTTTTTCTTTGCACCTTTTTCTTTTAGAAGACCCTCCCCCACACCCAAATTTACATTACGTTTTTTAAAATTTAATTTTTTATTGAATTTTACAAAAAAAGAAAAGGAAAGAGAAGCAAAGAATAATACATAACACTGTGGTACCACAGGTTACAGACGCTTCAGGTTACAGATTCCACTAACCCAGAAATAGTACCTCAGGTTAAGAACTTTGCTTCAGGGTAAGAACAGAAATCATGTGGCAGAGGTGGTGCAGCAGCAGTGGGAAGCCCCATTAGCTAAAGTGGTGCTTCAGGTTAAGAACAGTTTCAGGTTAAGAACAGACCTCCAGAACGTATTAAGTTCTTAACCCGAGGCACCACTGTATACATATTTTCCAAAATGCAGACTGAAAAAAAAAAAAAGACAAAAGTTGTTGTTTGCCGCCTTCGGCATCTTTACAATAAGGCAGGATGCCATTTTTTCAACAAAACACACAACCATGTGCCACGATGTTTGCGCATTGCTCCTCCTCTGCTGACGCCAACCACAGAAGGCAAATGGGGTTGGTGGCAGAGCGCCACCCTGCACGATGATGTCATGCCACCCGTTGCGTTGGCATGGGAAGGGAAAAGAATGGCATCGGTGCGGAGCCCCTCTCGGTCTGCTATTTGGGGGGTAGAGGCAGTTAGCAACCCGGAGCTAATTAAGGCGCAACAGCCGAGTCCTTCCACCATCCAGCGCTGGCATCCTAGGCGGGCAGGAGGCCTCTTGCTGCTGACCCCAGCCCCTGGCAGCCCACCTTCCCCTGGGATGGCACAAGGAAGCATTCCACCTGGCTGCCAAGGATTGAGGTCACCTAGAGTAGCAACAGGGCAGGAAGCTTCTGCACAGCGCCAGCCTTCCACAGCAGGGATTAACCGCCTCGCTGAGCTGCTGCCCTCGACAATTTTCTGGTCAGTAACTTTCTGAAAAGGAGAGCGTGTCTCTTGCAGGAGGGAGGGAGGCCAGCAGCTGAGGAGGGGTAAGGTTGGGGCGGGGGGAGAGAGAAGAGGACTGGATGGGTTCCAGGATGGGAAGCTATCACATCCGAAAACTACAGCCCTAGACAGAGGTCGGGTTTTCCAACGCTTCTTCCTGCCCGCCCAACACAAATACAGAAACTCCAGCGCTTATTTAGGGATGGGGCTGGGATGTGTCTATTCCACTGTTATTAAAGGTGTGGGAGATATCGTGGCAGGGAATGGTTGTCTACTGTAGCAAGGCTTTGGCTGATTTATTTATTTATTTATTTTTATAATCCACACTTTCATTAAAAAATGTAGCAGGGTGGAGTAAACAGAGGAATCAAATCAGCAGATGATCCATAAAAGCAGCAATTAAAAGGACAAAATAATGATGGTGCAAATGGCTGCCTAAACAATGCAGATTTCAGAAGACATATAAAAGAAGGCAGGTACAATTCCTGCTAAACTTCCACTGGCAGGTAGGGCAGGGCCTGCCACACTGATCTTTAGTAATGGCCAAACGAATCAGAGGATCTCAGTGGCTGAGGTGGAGCATAAGGAATTGGGCAGTCCTTGTTGTTGTTGTTGTTAATTATTATTATTTATATGCTGCCCATCTGACTAGGTTACCTCAGCCACTCTGGCCAGCTTCCAACAAATATAAAAGCATAATGAAACATTAAAAACTTCCCTAAACAGGGCTGCCTTCAGATGTCTTCTAAAAGGCAGATAGTTGTTTATTTCCTTGACATCAGATGGGAGGGCGTTCCACAGGGCAGGCACTACTACTGAGAAGTCCCTCTGCCTGGTTCCCTGTGACTTCTTGCAGGGAGGGAACTGCCAGAAGGCCCTCAGAGCTGGACTTCAGTGTCCGGGCTGAACGATGGGGGTGGAGACACTCCTTCAGGTATACTGGGCCGAGGCTATTTAGGGCTTTAAAGGTCAGCACCAACACTTTGAATTGTGCTCGGAAACGTACCAGGAGCTAGTGAAGATCCTTTAGGACTGGTATTATATGGTCTCAGTGGCCACACCCAGTCACCAGTCTAGTTGCCGCATTCTGGATTAGTTGTCGTTTCCGAGTCACCTTCAAAGGTAGCCCCACGTAGAGCACGTTGCAGTAGTCCAAGCGGGAGATAACCAGCACATGCATGTACTAAATCGCCTTGGTCCAGTATACCTGAAGGAGCGTCTTCACCCCCATCGTTCTACCCAGACACTGAGGTTCAGTGCCGAGGGCCTTCTGGTGGTTCCCTCACTGTGAGAAGTCAAGTTACAGGGAACCAAGCAGAGGGCCTTCTCGGTAGTGGCGCCTGCCCTGTGGAACACCCTCCCACCAGATGTCAACTACCAGACTTTTGGAAGACATCTGAAGGCAGCCCTGTTTAGGGAAGCTTTTAATGTTTGATGCATTATGGTATTTTAATCTTTTGTTGGAAGCCGCCCAGAGTGACTGGGGAAGCCCAGCCAGATGGGCGGGGTATAAATAATAAATTATTATTATTATTATTATTATTATTATTATTATTATTATTACTTTAGCCCAAGTTGTGTGGATTAACACAACTATCTTGAATCTCCCCTAGTAGCAAATCAGATCAGAAACCAGTGAAACTCAGCATCTGAGTAACATGATGGCTGTGGTTAGAAACTTGGGCAGTCCCACATGAAGCATGGTGCAGTAATCAAGCCCTAAGGTTACAATTCGCACTGGTAGGGAAGGCGGGGAGATGGACAATAGGTGGAACCAGAGTCAATGATGGGTGCAGCTACCCCCTGGCTGGTTGTGAGTGAGAAGTCATGCAGAAAAACAAAAGGCACTGGGCTGGCAGGGTGGACACTGGGGTTAGTGGGGGCAAAGCTCCATTCATCCTTGAGGACGAAGCTGCAGTGGTGAAGCATTCTCAAAGCAACTGGATGTCACTGGCCAACGATTCTTAAAGAACCATTTTCTTGCAGATTATCCTGTGGGGTCGGACAGAGAAGTGCCTAAAAGAAACCACGGAGGAGATCCGAGCGATGGGAACAGAGTGCCATTACTTCATCTGTGACGTGGGCAACCGCGAAGAGGTTTACCGACAGGCCAAAGCTGTCCGTGAAAAGGTACGTTTGGTGAAGAAACTGAGGGGGCTGCTCATCAAATTCGCAAATGACACCAAACTGGGAGGGATAGTGAATATCGCTGGAGATAGGATTCAAGGTGAGCCCACAGTGTGATGGAGCAGCAAAAAAAAGCTAATCTAGGCTGCATCAACCAAAGTATATTGCTCAGAAGTCATAGTACCGCTCTATTCTGCATTGGGCAGACCACACCCTTAGTACTGTGTCCAGTTCTAGGCACCAGTTAAAGAAGGATATTGGCAGGCTGGGGGGTGCTGAGGAGGGCAGCCAAGATGATAAAGGGTCTGGAAATCAAGCCTTATGCGGAACGGTTGAGGGAGTTGGGAGTGTTTAGCCTAGAGAAGAGAAGATTGAGAGGGGATAGGAGAGCCACCTTCAACTTTCTAAAGGGCTGTCACATGGAAGATGGAGAAAGCTTGTTTCCGCTCCTCCAAAGGGTGGGACTTTTCTGACATGAAGAGCTGTTTGTCAGTGGGATGAAATCGCTCAGAAACCGTACTCAACCCTGCTTCACTTTGCAAATATGCCGGTAGTAAACAATGCAGACTGGAATCTTGCTTTCTTTTTAAGGGCAGTTCCATAAGTTCAGTGGTAGAGCATCACCTTTGCTTGCAGTGGGTCCCAGGCATTTCTGGATTGGGCTGAGAAAGGCCTGAAACCCAGGGGAACCACAGTCTGTCAGTGTAGACAATACTGAGCTCTAATATAACATGAGGCAGCTTCATGTGGAGCATCTGTAGCCGAAGAGCACAGGTATTGGATGCTGAAGGTCCTAGGTTCAATCCCCGGTGTGTCCAGGTAGGGTTGGGAGAGAGTCCTGTCTGAAACCCTGGAGAGCTGCTGACAATACTAAGCTAGATGGAATCTGTATAAGGCCGCATAATATGTTTACTGTTGGGAAACAAAAGACTGAGCTCTATGTACCTTTGGTCAGATCTTGCAGGGCTCACCCACTGACTGGGGGCTTCTCCTTTCTCCCCCCACCTCCTCTTTAGGTCGGGGATATCACCATCCTAGTGAACAACGCAGCCGTTGTTCACGGCAAGAGCTTGATGGAGAGCGACGATGACGCACTGCTGAAATCACAGCACATCAACACGCTGGGACAGTTCTGGGTACGCAGCCATCCTTTCTCCCACATTCTCAGGCTTGGAAGTGACAGCAGGGAATTGCAGCCAGCGAAATCTTGGCTGCTCCCAGGGATGGCTGAGCCGAATTTGGGAAGATCAGCCCGGCGTGCAAACCTGCCAGAAAAAACAGTGGGGTGGGGGGAGGTGTGTGCAGGGGGAAAGATTCCAGCTACCTACTGAAATTAATACTAAGCACCGTTGGGTGATGCTTTAGGCATGTGGTGCTCTTTTAGACATCCCTGAATTAGTCTCTACTGCTAGGTAGATTTTCCTTTTCCTGCCCCTGATCTAACCTGGGGTGATTAATTAATTAATTTTTTTTTTACCAATTGTCAATTAGATTGGGCATTGGGGAGCTCCTTATCTCTCTCTACCCAATGCATTTCTGCCTGTGGTCAATTGCCTCCCACCTGATATCTCAGCTCCATCCTACTTGAGGAATTGTGACTTGCAAAGGAGAAGCGGATCTCTTGCAAAGAAGAAGGTGATGGGCTCTGTGGCCCTCCTGGACTCCAACTGCTATCATGCCTCAGCCAGAAATGGCCAATTGTCACGGATGATGGGAGTTGGAGTCCAGCAGTTCCTGGAGGGTCACAGCTTTCCCATCAGTCAGGGTTGGAGTCAGGAGCAAGTTGGCAGTAAATCACACGGCGTCAGTGAAGTTCTCTTTATTCAAGGAAACCAGGGTGACTCCAGAGGCCAGGCCTAATGAGCACAACAGTTCATCCTGGTAAATCTTGCCCCTATGAGGCAGTTGTTGGGAATGAAGGTCCCCGCCTTCCCACAGTTCCCTAAGTCCTCTCCTCACCCAGGTCCTTCCCAAGCAATCTGAGTCATTGCCACTGTGCCTGACTTTGCTCCACACTCTTCATATCTCTTCTGGTTCTGGGAGACCAGGGAGGAAGGGGAGCTGGTGTAGCATAAGGGGAGACTCCATGGCTTCTTCAGCAGCCTGCCTGATCTCTGCCTCTTGGGCCTCCTCTTCTCTAGCCTCTGCTTCTGGACTGCTCTCTGCCACAGGCTCTTCCTGCTCACCAAACCCTATGACCTCTTCAGCTTCCAACCCTCCTCCCTCTTCTCCCTCTAGCCCCTTATCATCATCCCACCTCCAATCCCTGGGCCCTGAGCCTTCTTTCCTTGGGGGTTCCCCAGCTGGTGCCTCCCACCACATCTCTGACACCATCCCTGCCATGACTGCCAGCTTACAGTAACACAGATGTGGGCTTTTCCAACTGGTGGCACCACTGTTGTGCAGTGCCTCCCCTCTGAAATATAGGAGTCCTCCCCACTGGTTCTCGCTTTCCACAAGCTCCTGAAGACACACTTGGTTAAAGACCAGCATCCCCTTTGAACTTCCTGATCTAATTGCCCCGGTGGCTCTTTTCATTCTTCTTCTTTTCAACGGGTCTTATCCCCTTGCATATTGTAGTTGCGGAAGATTTCGTGGAATGGTTTTTATTGTGCGCTTCAGTTAGGCACGGGTATTTTATGATTTATTTTATACTTGTAACCCACTAAGAAGCCATTTCGGTGTGCAGGTAGTACATAAATCAAGTACAGTGGACGCTCGGGTTGCGAATGTGATCCGTGCAGGAGGCACGTTCTCAACCCGTAGTGTTTGCAACTCGTGACCTGCGCGTCTGCGCATGCACGGGTTGCAAATCGGTGCTTCTGCATATGCGCAAAGCGCGATGTAGCGCTTCTGCGCAAGCAAAAACGCCGAAACCTAGAAGTAACCCGTTCTGGTATTTCCAGGTTCAGCGCGGTGCGCAACCCAAAATCGCTCAACCTGAAGCATCTGTTATCCGAGGTATGACTGTAATTAACAGCAGTTATCGATGATCATGATATGTGAACCAAGGTTATTCTCTCTCTGCCCACAGACCACAAAGGCCTTCTTGCCGCGGATGCTGGAACTGCAGAAAGGGCACATTGTTTGCCTCAATTCTATCCTGGCCTTGTCTGCCATCCCTGGGGCTATTGACTATTGCACTTCCAAAGCCTCCTCTTTTGCCTTCATGGAGAGCTTGACGCTGGGTCTCTTGGACTGTCCTGGAGTAAACGCAACCACTGTCCTGCCATTCCACACCAGCACAGAGATGTTTCAAGGGATGCGGATCAGGTCAGTGCAGACAGCCACAAAAACAGGTCTGGTTGGTGATGCGTGAGGTAGATCCTGCATTTATGAAGGAGCAGGGGTGGGAAATCCTGGGGCAGCCCAGCAACATTCAATCTACAGCTGAAGGATATCATGTAAGTGGTTTGGATAAAGCAATATACAGTACAGTGCTACCTTGGTTCTCAAACTTGATCCATTCCGGAAGTCCATTCCAAAACCAAAGCGTTCCAAAACTAAGGCGTGCTTTCCCATAGAAAGTAATGCAAAATGGATTAATCTGTTCCAGACTTTTAAAAACAACCCCAAAAACAGCAATTTAACATCAATTTTACCATCTAACAAGACCATTGATCCATGAAATGAAAGCAGTAATAATCAATGAACTGTACTATAAAATAAATAAGACAGTATTGTAGATGATAAAAATTAAAATTATTTCTTTTTCTTACCTGCGCTGATGATAGTCATTGTTTGGATGTTTTATCCATTTCTGCTGTCACACAACCAATCAATCAGTAGCTGAACAAGGTTCCACACAGTCACAAAAACGAATTAACCGGAAAAGCCTCAAAAACAAAAATTCAAAATAAATAGTAAAAACAAAAGTGCCAAACTTATTCTGTTCTGGAAGTCCGTTTGACTTCCAAAATGTTCAAAAACCAAGGCGCAGCTTCTGATTGGTGCAGGTGCCCCGGAAACAATAGCCAACAACCGCATCGGATGTTCGGCTTCTGAAAAACATTTGAAAACTGGAACACTTACTTCTGGGTTTTTAGCATTTGAGAATCAAAGCGTTTGAGTACCAAGGCATTTGAGAACCAAGGTACCACTGTATACATTTTTAAAATATCAATACAGTTTTTAAAAACAAGGAGACGGAACATTTTTTCAGCACCACCCTCTGTCCTCCAAAGCGTTTGCAGCCTGAGGCAGCTGCCTCATTCTGCCTAACGGTAGAGCTGGCCGCGAGGTGAACAAACAGGGCTGTGTTTTCTTTTCCAGATTCCCCAACCTCTTCCCTCCACTAAAGCCAGAGACGGTGGCTCGGAGGACAGTAGAAGCTGTTCAGCAGAACCAAGCTTTCCTCCTGCTGCCATGGACAATGCACATCCTGATCATCTTGAAAAGGTGCGGCCTGCTGCTCCACACCCATTTTTATTTTATTTGTTCGGTGATGCAAGGAGGTCAAGTTGGCATGTGCTGCTCTCCGACTCCTCCCCATTTTTATCAACAAGCCTCTGAAATGGTGGCTTGGTCCAAGGTTCCCATGTGAGCTTTATGGCCAAGTGAGGGATTTGAACCTTGGTCTCCTGAGCCTATTCTGGCTGTCCCAACAGCTGAACCACACTAGCTCTCCAAATCTAGTCCTGGCAAGATGGAGCATGAATGTGGGGACATTGAGGGGCTGCAGGTATCTACCCTGCCCTCATCATCTCCTACCTCCACCCTCAACCTTCATGTGTTGTGAAGGAAGGTCTGAAGGGGGAATCTTGGAGAGTTTGATTGGTGCTGGAAATCCTCCACACAAATGGTAAGCCCAGTTCTGCAAGCCATGCAGCTATTCCCCCTTTGGACCGTCCCACGCCATGCATGAACATCTGAGACTGCAACTGGCAGGGATGGAGGGCAGCGCCTCTTGCTGCCTCTCCTTGTGTGCATCTTTGATGATGAGAAGAGGCCTGATGGAGTAGGGAAGGGAAAACCAAGGCCCAGCGGCTCTCTCGGTTCCACAAAGAGCTTGTGCCAAAATGTCAGCACAGTGAGTTGCAGAGCAACTTGAACTGTGAGATGAGCACCCTGAGATGGTGAGATTGTCCCAGAAGTGGGAACCCATCACCAAAAGTTGCACGTATTTCCATAAATGTGAAGGGGTGTGTGTGTGTGTGTGTGTGTGTGTGTGTGTGTGTAGGGCCCCGTACATTAATGCAAGGCCCTTTAATTTGGCCCAGAGGTGTATGGGCAACAACTGAACATAAGAACATAAGGAGAGGTTTACTGGATCAGGCCAGTGGCTGATCTAGTCATAGAATCATAGAAGGGACCACAAGAATCACCTGGTCTGACTCCCCACAGTACAGGAATATTTTGCCCAACCTGGGTCTTGAACTCACAACCCTGAGATTAAGAGTTTCATGCTCTATCAACTGAGCTATCCCTCAGTCCAGCATCCTCTTCTCACAGTGGCTAACCTGTGGGAAATCAGGAAGCAGGATTTGAGCGCAAGAGCCCTTCCCCTTTCCTGCAGTTTCCAGGAACTGGTATTCAGAAGCATCACTGCCTCCAACTGTGGAGGAACAGCAGAACCATCATGGCTAGAAGCCACCAACAGCTCTCTCCTCCGTGAATTTCTTTTCGCATTATTTGCAAAGCGTAAAATAAAAACAAATCACCCAGTCCCTTCAGCATCCAGTGCACCTGTCCACTCTGCCTGTCCTCTGCTCTGCCTCCGGTGGACTGGCTGACCCACCCTCTCTTGCCTTCCTCTCTTGCAGCATCCTTCCGCAAGCGGCGCTCGAAGAAATCCACAAGTTCTCCGGGAGCTACACCTGCATGAACACTTTCAAAGGGCGCACGTAGGCTCTGCTTCTCGCTCACACACCAAGCAGGCCGAGAGCCCGACGAGGGCAATCGGCGGGGCCTCCCGAGGCCACACGCTTGCTCTCCCTTGCCACGGTGACAGCGTCGAGAGCCATAGCGGAAAGGGGTGGAAGAAGAACTCACAGGGGCAAGGAAAGGGGACGAGCAACGGCAGCCATTTGCAACGTAGATTTTCAGAGGAGTTTCAAAGCCTAGCGGTTTGCCGAACCTCCCGTGCCGCGTACATTCCACTTTGGCCTGCTAATCAGGAATTGCAAATTAATTTAGAGGGGTTTCCTCCCCAATTTGTGTGTGTGTGTGTGTTGGGGAAGGGGTGTTCTCATTTTGTAAAGCTTGTAAGATTTTACTACCCTTGGGTGAGTGCTGAGACTAGTGGTTATGAAGAAGTAACAGAAAAATGGATACCACTTTTTTTTTTTAAAGCCAAGGAAGCAGCAAGGACCTCTGGCTCCCACATGCCAGGAAAAGAGTACGGAATGTTCCTTAGCGAGGGGCAGCTGGCAGGAGTCTTTGGCAATGGACAGAGGGAAACAGAATCAAATGCTTCTATTGGGTTATCCATAGATTGCAGGAAAAGGTGCATATTGTGTCTGCAATGCTTGGGCCAAGGAAACCATCACAACAGCCTCATCGGATCACACCAAAACCCAGAATTCTGTTTCCAGCAGCAGACAACCTGAACTCCCTGGGTTGGTTTCATTCCATTTGTCTGGAGTAGATCTACTGCCTCTGAACAGGACGTCGTCCTTCTTAGCTATGGTGGTTTATCACCATTGATAGACTCAATCTTAATATGCACAGGCTACGTGCAAGGGTTCTGCTTTTCTTTCTTTCTTTTGCAAGGAAGGAGCAAATTAAGGCGAGTCACGCAAGGGTATCTCAGCATTTTTCAAGATAGGTAGTTGGTGCATCCTCTTTCTATGGTGGCCGGAAGCCTTGGGGGAAGGATCCAATTCGAACAGACTTCCCAAACGAGTCCAGCTCTTTGCTCCTAAAAATACACCTCCAAACGGAACACAAAACCAGTCACTCATGCATATACACACATATATAAATAAAGGGTTTGCTAAGCTGCAGTCGTGGTCTTTGTGTGGACTTGGCATGTTCTATGGCTGCCCATAAAAATAAAAAAAATAGCTCCAGATATAATGTGTGAATGGGATGAGGAGTCCAGTGAGAGAAGCCATTTTGTTTTCGACAGTGTATCAGCAAGCAAGATCGGCAACCAATTGTTCAGGGTATCAACCACTCGGTCATGCCCTCTTGTGGGTTACTCCAATCCATTCTGTGTTTTTCCCCCTTGCCTGCCCCTCTTTAGTTGGTAAGCATTCTGAGTCTGTCTTCACTAGGCTTGAGATGCATCAATTGTTCAAGAGATGTAAAGTCTTGCAACCTCGTGAATGGAGTCGAGTCTCCTTCTTGAAGGGTCCTGGTGGCTCTTTCTATCTAAGGACTGCATTCCCTTCTGGGCATCCTTCCTGGGAGGAGTCAAGTGTCAGTGGTGGGTGGGACCAGATAGAAAGATGGGTGGTGACATATGTGCAAATTCTGCCTCTGTACACACCCAGTTTCTGACTTCCAGCTAGTCAAACAAGGAGCTTTATATGAGTTGAAGAACACATTCCAGTGAGGAGAAAATACTCAAGGAGGATGCAAAGGTGCACTGGTAAGGGGAATGGCCCAGGGAGAGTCCTAAAGGCCCTGGGCCTAGGGCTCCTGGTTCCTGCCATAAATCAGAGTAGGCCTAGGGACCAAGTGCAACCCCCAGGACTCTGTACATGACCCTTGGAACTCCATGAGACACATGCCCTCACTGGACTTGCTTTGCACCCTTCTTGAGTGTTTTCACCTGGCTGGATTGTTGTTGGTATCTGTCTGGCTCTGGAGACACTGGAATGCACCTCCGGAGAAGTCAAACTGCTGCCTTAGCAGCACCAAAGTGTCATCCACTGGGCAGTGTGTTTGGAGGTCCTGGACTTCCCAGAAGACAAGACCTGTCCCCTCTTGGCCTCACTGATGTGGTCCAAAGGAGAGCAATACACTTGGCACCAGCTTGGCTGCAGGAGTTGCCAGAAGGAGGCTTAAAAGGCGACATCCAACCATCTTAGGGACTCCACTCTGGATTTCTGTAGGGTTTATTCCTTAGCCTCTCCTGAAGATTTAGGTTTAGGGTCAGAGTTTTCCTTCTCCTAGATGGGCTACCTTCCCGGGTTGACAAGTCCCACCTGCCCCTCACTTCCCTCTATGGCACTTAGAGAAACCACCTTCTTGACCATTGGACCCACTGTTGGTCTCATCCGCTGAGTCCATTGCAGCCTGCTTTTGCATGCTCATCCTTGACTCTGATCCTCTGCCTCTTGCTAGTCTGGATGGAGGATACAGAGGGGTGCGTGTGAGCGAGTAGAAGCTAGCCTACTGCACAAAGGTAAAGCTTAACATTTGCCACTCCACATGTGACCCTCAGAAAGATTTCTCAGAAGGGAAAGCAGCTCTCTGGTTCAAAATGGTCCCCCACCCCTATGCATAAGCTTAACAGGGTTAGCTTTGCCTTGTCTGATCTCCACTGCTTAGTCTGCTTCTCTATTAATACCTGCAGAAGTCAAAACTCTTCACTGGGAGGTGGGCACAGGAAGAGTTCCCTAGGCTATTTCTGGTGTGCTTCACAGTGGGAAAATTTCCATTCTTCTATTTCATTGCATTCTGTTTCCTTCACCTCCACCACCTCCTCCCCCTCCCTGCTCTCCGTGTTTCTTCATCGCTACCCGCAGAGCTATATTAAATTAAGACATTTTCTTTCTTTTCTTTTTTAAAAAGAACTCTGTATCAACCCAGCGCTTGCTTAATGCCACCATCTTGTAGCCAGATGTCAACCACAAAATCGGGGGGCGGGGGGAATCTGAGCCAAGGGAACATCAACTGATCAGGGAAAGAGGCGAGATGAAGTAGCAAGATTGGGACCATAGAAGCAAAAACCAGAGCTGCTTAATCACACGGAAAAATTTAAGTAACTAAAGCCTGGGAGCAGATCACATTGGGTTGCTTCCAACTCAGTTTTACTCAGAGTAGAACCATTGAAACAGATGGAACCAAGTCATTCATGTTCATTAATTCCAATAGGCCTACCCTGAGCAGGACTAACATGCCCAAACCATTGGTGGTGTTCTCTTTTTACTCAGAGTAGACACGTTGCATTAACATGGCTAAGTTAGACCCATTGACAGTGAAGCTCTATTTGGTTATTATTTTCTCCATCAAATAAAAACATAGGATGCTACCTTCAACCAAGTCAGACAACTGGTCCATCTAGCTCATGGTTTTCAGAGAAAAAGGTTCATCTCAGCTTCCTGGAAATGCCAGGGATTGAACAAGGCAGATGCTCTGCAACTGAGCTACAAACCTTCCTGCAAAGGCATGGAAATGTCTAGGAAGCTGCCTTATACTGACTGGCCTTCAGATGTCTTCTAAAAGTCAGATGACTTCCCTAACTACGAACCCTGAAATTTGGGATCACGTCCAAACCAGGGCCCGTGAATCCAATGGACTTAAGTCTGTCATGTTCACTACTCTGAGTAGGACTCGCATTGGATACTACCTAGTGATCAGGGAAAGTGATCGAAAACCAGACCCTGGTAAATAGGCAATTGGTGCTTATAATCCCAAAGGACTGCATCAATATGCCCATCCAGAAACATTTGGCTATGCAAATGTTTCCTCTGGCGCTCGCTCTCTTTTTCCTTTGAACTTCCGGCAAAGAGTCACGGTCTGTTTGCTTTTTCTTTAACCACAGAGGCCTTTGCAGTTGTGTGTGTGTTTACATATACATATATATACATACATATACATATATACATATACATATATGTATATATATATATATATATATATATATATATGCTGAGCTTGCAGAGAGAAATGAAGTCATCCCACAGGGTTTTTCTGCAGTGTTTTTCTTTTTAAAATAATAATAAAAATAAAATAAAATAAATTGCACAATTCTTTCATTGCTGGGATGTTAAAAAAAGAAAAGAATTTTCAAAGAAAATACAAGCTGGTTGTTTGTGTTTTTGCTCTGCAGCCAGTGCAGCAGCTTGAATATCTCTTCTGCAAGTTCAGAGGAAGGGAAAGTGCCAGGAAGCATTGTTCCTCCATGTTTGTCTTGAACTTCAGATGGCAACGCTGCAGCCGCCCTCCTTAAGGTGCCCGTAAATCTCGAAGTGTTTCATATAGGCTCCTTGTCGTGTGGCCATTAAGTTTTATAGCCTTTATGCTTCAAGTGAAACGATGACTGCGAATTCCTTCTAAATGTCATAATGCATCCCACATGCTAGCAGCTCCAAGCGTACAACCCAAGATCAACATCGAGCATTTAATAAGATGCGGGGCCATCTGCATCAAAAAGCACCAGCGGGATGGAAATGTCATAGAATCATAGTATCGCAGAGCTGGAAGGGACCCTAAGGGATCATCTAGTCCAGCCCCCTGCAATGCTTTAAAAACCTCCAATGAAGGAGAGCCCACCACCTTCCGAGGAAGTCTGTTCCACGGTCTCAAATAGCTCTTGCCATTGGAAAATTCTTCCTAACGTTTAGTCGTATTTTCGCTTAAGCACACAGGGCCCTGGAATATAACCCCCACATGAACTGGGAGGAGGGGACCTGAAATGATTATACCCATTTCACAGCCTTTCAGGTTGAAGTCAAAAGGCAGCTATTCCTTGGGCTAATCCACATCAGATTGGACGTTTCAGCTAAAGTTCGCCATAAGACTAAGTCCAACTGCAACTACAGACTCCCGAGAATCAGTACAAGACCATTTTCCATCTAGGTTCAGGCGCTGGTCCAAGAAACAGATCATCTTTATCGGGAGATGGAGCACAGGTTGCTTCAATTTGATGTCTCAGCAGGTTTGATGCCACCAACCATGGCATCCTACTGGACTAACTTAGTGGGCTGGGAGTTGGAGGCACCACCGTTTTCACCTGGCTGGACCTCATCCTTGAACTTTGATCGTGTATCTTGAATGGAGGATAGAAAGGGGTGCGTGGGCCTGTGGTAGAAACCAGCCTTTTGGACATAGGTAAAAATTTGCATGTGTTGCTCCTCCCACTTTTGGCTCTGGCCCCACCCAACACTAGCATGCGGCCCTCAGAATACTAGCTGAGTACCAAGCTGCTATGTACCTGAAATACTATGAAATCACATTCTTCGTTGAAGCTTTCACTATTGGCTCCACATTCTGCCTGTAAGACTCCATCTTGGCGTGTTGCATTCTGCACCCTGATTTGCTACTGCTTGCATCTGCCAGACAACAGCAGACTCTACCCCCTACCCCACAAAGCCCTGCCCCAAAGCTGACAGCCACCAGTTCTCTACCTACTCATTTGGGGTGTGAAACTTTGAGAACCTAGCAGCTTCTAAGGAAGAGGCTATGGGGTTGCCAATTTCTCTTTCATCAGAGAATCAAGCAAATGGTCTCAAACAGCCTGGAATGGGCTCAGACTCCCAAAGGCTAGCCAATCAGAACAAAAGAAAGCCACACTGTCTAAATCTGAACACACACACCCTGTGAAATATGTTAGAGGAACTTCCTTCTGTAGAAAGTAAATCTGCAACAGCTTTCTGGTGTAGATGGTTCTGAGTCCCTTCCAACTCTACAATTCTATGATTCTATGATCTTCTCCTTGCCCTGGTTAGGCTACCAGTGGCAACCAGCCACAATGGCTATGATCTACCACCACTGCGAAAGGCAGCACATTGAGGAATATTAGTTGCTGGGAACCATATCAGAGGAGTGTACTGTTGTACTCAGGCATACCCTCCAACATTTCTCCAATGCAAAGAGGGACGTCCTATTCCGCAATAATTTTTTATTATTATTTATACCCTGCCCACCTGACTGGGTTGCCCCAGCCACTCTGAACTGCTTCCAACATACACTACAGTGGTACCTCGGGTTACAGACACTTCAGGTTACAGAATCCACTAACCCAGAAATAGTACCTTGGATTAAGAACTTTGCTTCAGGATGAGAACAGAAATCGTGCAGTGGCGGCGCGGCGGCAGCGAGAGGCCCCATTAGCTAAAG